AAAAAACCCCCCCCCCCCGAAACAATCAGTCCCCGCTCCCCTGATCGGAATACTTGATCTCAGCCCTCGAGATGACTTTACAAATATCCATCTTGATCCTGGCTTGAGCCTGAGCGGGCAGATGTAGAACAGTCTGCGCCATGCTCCTGAAGAACAAATCCAAACTGTCACACTCGCTCCTCTCCCTCGACGCCCTGCCAACGCGTTCTCGCGCCCTGTCCTCGCCGCCGTCACTGGCCCTCCTCTTCCTCCTCGTGCCATTCACCTCCTGCTTCACGACACAAGCAGCCCCATTGACTTGAATCATTTGTTGCGCCTTGGCCACAGGCTCCCGCCCCACGAGCGTCCTCCCCTCGTCCTGGGACTCCTCGGCGTTGGAAAAATACTCAGCAGCATCCGACACGGCCTCCACCACCTCCATATCCAGCTCCAAATACTCGACATCAGCGGCCTGGCCGTCCTCGGGGTGCGCGAGTCCCGGGTACGCACTCGCATCAACAACATCAACAATCTCATAGGTCACCCCCTCCATCACGTGCCCCTCCATCGCCCCTTTCACCGCAAAAAAATCCGCGAATAAAAACCACCTCTACAATTTCCGCTCCGATTTCGTCAATTGTTTACAGGACAACTAGTGTTTACAGTCACATGTGCGCAGCCGGCCATCTTTATTCCCCTCAATGCGGTAGCAACTGCCCACACAACCTCATTTATCCGTTTGCATCAACACTACAGCGCACACACACGCTATTCCCCTCGACAGTTGCGAAATTCAGTCCGAAGAGCGCTCTGGCGATATGTACGTACAAACGCCTCGAACACCAATCCGCTACATGAATTACTCGCCGAGCGTCACGTACTGGCGGAGAAATGCGCGCGAGTGAGCGTCAGCCCCTCCCCTCGCCCGAGCGCCCCCCAAAAAAATAAATCCCCCGAGTTACACCCGAGAAGATAAAACAAACCGAAATTTCAAGTCGAAGTGAATTAAAAAATCGCGTTCCGGGGTGTTTTTTTTACTGAATCTCTCACGCCAGTGGCGGCACAAACGTCGCGGAGAGGGAACGCACGACACGCGATAAAACGTGGCAACACTGCACTGAGGCCTCGACTCGTTGAGCCCATGTGACAGAGAAGGAAAACATGACAAAAGGTGGCACGAAGAGGGTGACGCCGCCGCGTTCGGGATCACTCGAATGAGTATTTGCCCGGGCGAGCCGGGTGTCGGTGGCTTCTCTCCAGTTATTCCAACAACTCCCCCGTCATTTCCTCTGAAATTGCGCGTTTCAGCGGCTAAAGGGGCCCCGGAAAGCCCGAAATTCACGCCCGACGCGGCCAGACGACTCGAATAACGTCGATTAGTGGGGAAAAGGCGGGCTCAGTTGACCGAGCGCAGGCCCCACCGGACGCCCTGTTGTGTGAAAATAGTGCGGCAATCAGTGAGATTTAATGAATTGATTAAAAAATCCTCTGCGACCGATGCCAGGGGGATTTTTCACAGATCCACTTATTTCTCTCAAACACGCCCAGGGACCGCTTAGTGCTGCGTCACATGGGCAACGTTCATTGGTCGATATAGCGATGTGACGTCATTAGAGTGAATACCATTGGCTAATAGAACGGGTCCCGGACACGTGAATCGTGGCCAAGCAAGCATGGCTGTTGATGCGCAGTGGTTAACACTTGTAAAATGTTTCTGCCACGCGCCAGATCGATCAGGTTATAAAGACTATAAAGACTGTTTAACATTCGTTACTGTGAATTACTAAACACTTCGAGTTCATCTGATTGATATTCAAATCCAATGAACAATAATCACGTGGGCAGAAATAAATGAAGAGTACGGAGTGAAGATTGTGGGGGAAAAATTTTTTTTCCTGTTTAAACAAGATTACAGATCTCTCTCGTGTTTGTGTGCAACCTGTAAAACGTATGATTGACGCGTGTGCTGGTGCATCTCGTGACACCGACAGATACAGAAATTGAGTATAAAATCATCGGAACGGCGGTGGGGGGGGGGGGGTGGGGGGGTAGCTGTATCTCTCTCTCCGGTGACTGTTTCAAAGTTGAAAAAAGTCCGTAGTCTCCCTACCGCCGGTTAAAATCGCGATATAAAGTTTGCAAACGCAAGAAAATTCCCTTTGCCGGCCCGCCAGGGGGAGATTGATTTCTCTACGAAACCCCCCGTGAAAGTGGCAAACGCGCGTGTTTCCATTGTGACTCGGGCTGCGCACTACCATCCGTAAGTACAATATCATTTTGCTTCGTGTGCAAACACGTAAAACGAGACTGAATGATTTATTCCCCGGGGGCCTCTGGAGAGTGATCTTGTCACGGTGGATACCCCTTTGTTTTTCTTTTATCTCATCAACCACGCCCGTATTACGGCAGCTGAGGCTGTGTGCCTTTGCCATCTCCGTTGAAAAGTCGTTAGTCGTGAGCCCTCTGGCCTCCTTGTGTTCTGTACAATTGTTTATTTGTCACGTTTCACGGCATCTCCCTCGATTTTTCGTCTATTTAATTAACATGTGTATGGGTGGTTGCGTGGCGTGTTTTATTTGCCATAATAGAATCATCCAATCACGTCTTATTTCACACTGTGACGTCACACGCTCGGAGGTTTACCATTGGTTAACGGAGGTAAATGCGAGGTTTTGCCGCTGTGTGCGAGGGGGTTACCTCTACCCGCAGCGTGCACGGGTCTCTTCATCCCCACTTGTGCAGAATTTTGTGTTGCTACATGGGGCAAGGGGGTGGGGGGTGGCCGCTCTGCTCGTTTCGTCCTTATTTCACGCTGGGGATGGCTTTTCAGTCTATCCCACTTTGCTTGGACACGCTACTTGACTTTTGCATACGTACGCGCTTGGATCCGGGGGAGGGGCACCTTCGGCTGTACTTCACGACGCCTTTTTAGCGAGGCTTACCTATTTTTGCACGCAACTCCCTCTACTACACCTATCTTTTTTGCGAAGGGGAGCCCCCACTCGCGGAGATGACCAAACCATCTGCGAGGAGAGTTGAGCGAGCACTTGGTTCACTCCGCTTTCCCCGTTTTAATAGTATATTTCGTAACGAGTGTGGAAAAGAGTTTTTTGTGGGAGGTTATAGCACGAGCCGAAGGCGAGTGATGTAATTCCACGAGCCAAAAAACACTTCCCACGAGTATCGAACGATATTTTTCATCACAATGTGTGGAAAAGGGACGTTTTAGGCACACTTCGCGTACCTAAAGTTACTTTTTCGCACAGCGGGATGAAAATGGGTTTTTTGGGGGGTGGGGGTGATGGGGTTTTTTTCAGGGGTGCAATTTTACGGGACGAAATTGGGCGAATGGGAGCTTTTGGCTGGGAGATTTTGAGGGGTAAAATGTGGGATTACATCACTCGCCTTCGGCTCGTGCTATAAACCTCCCACGAGCCAAAAAACACTTTTCCCACGAGTATCGAACGATATTTTTCATCACAATGTGTGGAAAAGGGACGTTTTAGGCACGCATGGCGAAAGGCAAATGTAAAGGTAAACGTTGGGTAAAAAAAACGTTAATGAGGGGTTGAAATGTTGATAAAAGTTAATAATTTCTATTTCAATACAAAGAACAATTCTTTCCCTTTGTGACGAGCCAAAACTGAGCTCAATTGATCAATTTGTTTCTGAGTTATGAATAATTTTAAAAAAGTCTAAAGTGTCCCTTTTACCCTACCCTCCCCCAATAAAAAAAAAACAGACATTATTTCCCCCAATTTATTCAGTAATTAATTAATACCTCAGACAATTTTATTGCAGTGATGTTTACACGTGAAGATGATAAATATTCAAGTTTTGAAAGTTCCTATTGTGTATATGGGAAAGCGAGATTCTTTTCCGTTCTCCCACTTCCCTCCCCTCCGCCCCCTCCTCCCCCTACGCCGCCCGTGTACGTTCTCTTTTTTCGCTGCAATGTGTTGGTACTCGAGGAATCACATTAGTTTGACCGTTGCCAAGTGTGAAGAGTACCAGCTACTCCGCCAAGAGGGGGAAAGAGGAGTGGGAGGTAATATGGTTTATTCATGGCTGATAATTTTTCAAACAAAACGTGCAATTCCTCCATTCACGATTATTTAGTTTTATTAGTTCACCAGTGACTCACTCGGCTATAATTTTAACGTCTTCCCATCGGAGTTGAAAAATTTTTCCTGCTGATTGTACGAGCACGTGCTCCTGGGTAACACGTGTCATCGTCTCGGGTCTACAAACGTCGAAGAATGTTTTATTCTGATCTTGGTGGAAATGATTGTAATGACGGGCTTCATTCACTCGTTTGTTCATTAATGGGCGGGCGAGGGGGAAGGATTATTTATATAAAATCATAATGCAGTCTGTTGGGTATGAGAGAGGCAAGCGAGCGTGTCTTTGCGTCTGCGCTCGTGTTACTTCACAGAAAACACAAAGAGAAAGAGAAGATTGAAGGGAAAAAATACTGGGAGGTACACTAGAGAAAAACGAACGAGTTATCAAGCAAGTCTCGTTTCGGCTAACAAAATCGTTAGTTCGTTTTCATTTTCAGTCAATTTTTTTGGTTCATAAAGGTGCCACGGCGCAAGGCCAATTACAGAATCAAATTTATCATACATGAAGGGGAGGTTGGGGTAAAACGGACACTAGACTTTTTTTTAAGTATTCATAACTCAGAAACAAATTGATCAATTGAGCTCAGTTTAGGCTCGTCACAAAGGGAAATAATTGTTTTTGTATTGAAAAAAAATTATTAAATTTTATCAACATTTCAACTCCTCATTAACATGAAAAAAAAGTCAAAAGTGTCCGTTTTACCCCAACCTCCCCTATTTACAAACAATGAAAAATTAATTTAATTTAGTAACTCAGTTTAAGCGCGCCTAAAACGTCTCTTTTCCACACGTTGTGATGAAAAATATCGTTCGATACTCGTGGGAAAAGTGTTTTTTGGCTCGTGGGGGGTTTATAGCACGAGCCGAAGGCGAAAAAACTCTTTTCCGCACTCGTAACGAAATATACTATTTCTTAGCACAAGTAAAACTTGTTTGAGAACTTTGTCTTTTTTCTTTCGGTGTATAATTGGTCTGTGGGTTGTTGGCTCTGGATACAACAGTAAATAAATGAATAAATAAATAAATAAATGAATGAATCGCATGTCTCGCATGTTTAGCTTAAAAAAAACCCTTTTTTGATCATTTTTAACAAATAATTTGTTTGGCACAAGTAAGACTTGCTTGGGAACTCTGCTGTTTTTCTCACAGTGCAGAGGCAGGAGGGAGTGAGGGATCGTGGGTGACTTGAAATTTGCGACGTATTTGTCACTGCGTCTCTCGTCATTCTACGCATCACGACTTCATTAATAATTTCGTGGGGGTTTTAGTAGTGTATCACCACTAAAACCGTTCAGCGATTGGAAATGCAGAGCGAGGAGGTCTGGTTTGAGTTCGGATGTAATTTATTGATTGGAGAATGTCCAGATTACGCCAATTAGATGAGATTATTTTTTTCTCTCGGCTACTGGAGCCGGAGCGAATGCCTGATTAAAGGAAACTTCATTCGTTTATCAAGCCCGGGGTTATCTCGATGTTATGCGGGAGGGACTCGTTTTGCGGTTGTCTGAGAGAAATTGGTGAGGAGACAGAATTCAGGGGTGGAGTGGAGAAATGAGATGGGATTTTTGTTGGGAATTTATCTGTTTTTGCGGAATTGAAGGGAGATGCCGGAATTTTTGGGGAGATTTTTGCTGGAGCATAATGCAATCTACGAAACAGATTGCGGAGATTTTTTTTTTTTCCATCAATCCAGAGATATTTGCCAAAGGGGGTGGAGAAATGAGACGGAACAATTTTTATTGGAAACAGATCCGTTTTTTGAGAATTTTTTTTTTATTAAGCGATTAGAAACGTACATGGAAGGTTTATTAGTTATACAATATGTGTTTTTACACTCAATGTACACTCTATTTGATAGAGTCTATTACACTTTTTTTAATTTATTTTATTTTCAACTCACATTCTTTGAAAAATCTATCAATGATCTTGATCACAATAGGGTTTACTATATATATCACATGACTCATCACACAAGGAAGTTGACAATGTTTCGTGATTTTTTTTTTTTTGAGAATATTGGGGAATGGAAGAACGAATGAAAAATTTATGCGAAGACATTTTTTCAGAGCCTTGGGAGATCTACAGAAAAGATTCTCAGGAAATTTTTCGGACTTTCCATATATTCAGAGGTATTTGCGAAAAATTAAACTTCAAGTTGAAGTGGAAATTAACTTGAAATAAATATAGTTTCGATTTCATTTCTCACTGAATACCACAGTATTGATGGTAGATACCAGAATTTCCGCAGTTATTTTTGTCAGCTCCCATCGCTCCCCGAGGAAGCTCCCCAGGGAAATTCCCCTATCCTCCACCCAGACGATGATATCCACGAAAACCTCATCTTCAAGTTGATTCGATTTATCTCATTTCACCGCTTCGCTATCAACTCTCATTTCCCTCCGCGAAATACGCACCACTATTTTTCGCGTTTATCATCTACTTCAGCAGCTTTATATCACTCTGGAATTTCCTGTTCATCTAGGAACACCTCGGAATCTGTTCTAATAGACCTTTTCATTCAGGAGATCTAGGGGAAATGTTTGTTCCCTTTCTATTTATCCACCCCCTTAATATTTCATGAGAGTATTGATATTTATTTGAAGTGAGAAATGATTAATGAACACACAAATGATTAGATACAGACAAGTGGGGCAAAATGGACACCATTTTTTTTAATGTCAATGACTTATTGAATTGTTAAAGAGATATTGATAATTAATTGAAATGTCTGGACAATTGCTGAATTTAATTAAAATGATATTTTGCACAGAATTATTATTTTTTTAAACATTCGTTGATCATAAGTAAAAAATTGGAATTGTTTGAACTTTCGGACACATTTTTTAGGCATGAAATCGATTTCTGGTAAAATTCTGAATATTAATGAATTTGTTACGATTCTGAAAAAATAATTTTCACGGTGGAAAATTGATTGTTTATAAATTATTTATAAAAAAATGTTCGTAATTATCAAAAATTGGAATTTTTAAATTATTTCAGATTTAAAATCTTTTCTAAAGGTTCAATATTGAGATTCAAATTCAGCCCTACAAAGTTTAAATAACAAAATCATTGCAAAATCTCCATAAACTTGGAGTTAAATGAAGTTTCGATGTTGAACAACAAACCTAGAAAACCATTTTTTTTTGTTTAACCAAGTTTTTATTCAAGAAAACAATCAGCATTTTCAATATTTACAAACCTTAAAAACTAGTATAAAAAACAATGGTTCTATGATCAGTATTATTTTCAGGGAGAAAACTATGGCCTATAGAGGCTCTCGACTTCTAAATTATTTACTTTTTTATGTTATGGTGTTATACATGATATTTCTCTTTTGAGTTTTCTGCGATTTCCTTTGCAATCTGTTTATTTTTTTTCCATGTGCCTAAAAAAATTTTTTTTGTTCGCTGATATGTGAAAAAAAAGGCACAACAGTATTTGCAACCTAGAAAACCATTTCACTGGCGAAAAAGTCGCCAAAATCCTTGGCCATCCCCAAAAAAATGAAAACATCTGTCTCCTAAAAACCTAGTACCCCATTCTCTAAATATCTCCAATGAATTTGTTGCAGACTGGCACCCGGGTCAGTGTACCCCGTAACTTCGCCTCTAATCCCCGCAGGATCAATTCAAAAAAATCAGCATGAGCCTGGAGACACTGCTGGAGGCTGCACGATATGTCGAGCAGCAGGAGAAGAAACGAGAGAGGGTTGCCAGCACTTCCTCATCCTCGGATCATTCGTTCGCCGTTGCGCCACACTCGAATCATCACAATTCAAACGAGCCACGTGGTAAGTGACTCTCCTCTCTCCTCCTCCTCCTCCTCCTCCCTCCCCCCCCCGTTCCGCCGCGATGATTTCAATTGTTAGAATGGGATCAATGCTCCCCCGACGAAAAAAGAAAGGCCCAGATAAAACGCAAACCCCGAATATCCCCGGGAGACCAGGCACTGTCTATTCGCACGCTCCATGGTAAAGTTCACCGTGGATTCACGGTAGATTCTCACTCACATCTCGTCTGACATCTCTGCTGCGATGAACTCTGGTTTTGAGCTCTGTGAGTAGAGTTGAAAAGCAAAGTTGTCACAACATTGTCCAGTGAGGTCTAGGGTCTCCCCTGGTTAAAAAATCATCCTTAGAGACATTTGCACGGCATTTCGAGACTCGTTCGTCATTCGGGGAAACTCCTAGAGGGGAAGCTAGTAGGAATTTCCCCTCCTAGAGTCGGCTCTAGGAGTTTCCCCTCCTAGAGCCGAAAAAACTTCTAAGAGAATTAGAATTTAGAGAGAAAAAAAAATTTCTGCTTCACTCAGCCGGGAATCGAACCCGGGTCTCCCAGAAACGCGCCGGGCACTCTTACCGACTTTTTTTTTTTTCGAAATACGTTTATTTACCTTAAAGATACAATGATTTTCTTAATTATAAGTTAACGTATTCAAACTTATATCTATTATGATTAGAGATTCACAGTTCTAATAAATATACAGAATCAATACAATAACTAATGTTTAAAACATTATTTTACTCTGTTTTATAGACTGATCAGTTGAATGAGTTTTATCACTCTTACCGACTAAGGTACCGGGAACCACAGAAATTCACTCTCAAATTCACCTCATACACCCCCTAACCTCCTTTAGGCATTAAAGAATTCTAAGAGAATTAGAATTTAGAGAGAAATAAAAATGTCCGCTACACCCAGTCGGCTCTAGGAGTTTCCCCTCCTAGAGCCGACTGGACAATGTTGGCACAACTCTGGTTTTCAACTCATTTACACTATATTTCGGCACCCACTCGTGCACTCGGACCCCATCAGACAAATATGAATATCGTTAAGAAAAGGTTCACATAAAATGTAAAAAACTATTCATTTCATTCTTTATTTGCGTTAATCTATACTGATATTCGTATACGAGAAAATTCTTTACTAGTCTACTATCTCCATATAACTTATCAATTGATTCGATGTGCCTAGTTTATTATCTAGATCTAATTTGAGACGTAAAAGTTGAGGGTCCACGATCTTCCATATATCCACGGTAGAAATTACCTTGAATCCACGGGAAAACGTCCCGTATATCCACGGTCAAAGTTACCGTGGAGCGGGTGAACAGACACTGCTGGCGACCATTCGCCCCGTCCTTGGCGATCTTTTTTTTTTTTTTGGCACACTAAATAGTTCGCAGGGAGTAACCACAACCAATAAACAATGCGCCCCAATTTTTTAATGATTTTCTCCTCCATTTTATCGCCCACGTTTTCGCCAAAGGTCATGGATCTTGCGGTTGAGCGAAAAAGAAAGGGGGGAGTAAAAAAAAAGAAGAGAAGGGAAAGGAAAAAATAAACGAGAGAGAGAGAGAGAGAGAGAGAGAGAGGGAGAGAGAGAGAGAGAGAGCTTTGCCGGCTATCGACCGTTCGACCACGTGATCTAGGGTAACACTGAAGGAGGTTGAGAGCCACTGGCACTGGCAAAACCATATGAATCGCACGCGTTGACCCACGCGCGCTCGTCGTCTCCAAATTAGGTATGATTTCCCTGTCATCAGGGGTGCTCAGTTGGTAGCACGGTTGAGACATGATTGCTATTCCCATGATTTTTCACGCGTGGTTTTTCCAACGGGGGGTCAGTGAACTCGGAGTGATACAGTAGCACGTGGCTGTGGGGGATTAAAATAAATGGCGACTTATTTTTCTCGGGGAGATGCGTCGGGTGAACGCGTTAAGTGAATGACTATTTGAAATTTCTATGATTCAGGGAAGGGGGGGTTGAGTGTAACGGATCGCCTTGCATGGGTTGAATTTTAGAATTGTCCTGCGTATGATGATTAATTTTTTAAAAAGAATAAACTCCAGTTTCGTTATTGCCGGATCGTGCTGTGCCTGAAGTTTTTTCGTCCATAAAGATCAGCAGTTGTGGGAGATAACACAATTGAAGATCCCCACTCAGAAACGAGGGGCTCGTTACGTCTTGAGGAGCCTCGGGAGTCAAGGAAAATTACTGCAAATTTTGCGCGGTGAATTCTCAGGTAAAAGGAGACGAAAAAATCTGAAGTAAAGCTTGAAAAATTTGTTCGTTCGCTGGGAACTGGATGAAACAAGTTGAACGTGATCTGAAGAAGACAAATAATTATAAGAAACGTTCAAAAGTGCGAGGTGGGGACGCCACCATCTTGGTTTTTCCAACGGGGTCAGTAAACTCGGAGTGCTGCAGTAGCACGTGGCTGTGAGGCATTAAAATAAATGGCGACTTATTTTTGAGGAGCCTCGGGAGTCAATGAAAATTACTGCAAATTTTGCGCGGTGAATTCTCAGGCAAAAGGAGACGAAAAAATCTGAAGTAAAGCTTGAAAAATTTGTTCCCTCATTGGGAACTGGATGAAACAAGTTGAACGTGATCGGAATATGACAAATAATTATAAGAACCGTTCAAAAGTGCGAGGTGGCTAACAGGTGTGGGTGCGCCCCTCTACCGGAAAGGCTTCCAAAGCGGAACGATTTTTTCGCGCCATCTATCAAATTTTCCATCCCCTGCTGGCAGAGAATTCACGACGCCAACTTTTCCCGGCATTTCCGCAGTTATCTCAAACTCCCCAGGCGCCTTAATGCCGGGTACAAGTCGGGATTTTCTCACTTGAAAAATGAAAGGATGACGGAAGTCGTGAATGCTCAGGGATAAGTCGATCGGGACTGCAGGCCCCAGACCCGAAGTAGTGGGAATGAACAGGCCGGTTTTAGTACACCGAGAGAGCCCAAAAAAAACAGGATAAAAAAGGTGAATAAAAAGCATCAGTGGTGAAGGGAGAGAGCCAAGGCACGACGAGAGAGGAGCCCCGGTCACGTCGTGCATTTCGGCGCGCTGGTGAGGCAAACAAGCGGGGGAGGTACTGTAAACGTCGGTCAGTGACTCCCGAGCCATCTCCAGGTATTTTTTACATGAAAATACCAAAACTCAGGATGAAACCAAAACGTTTGGGGCTTTATTTACGATGAGATCATTAGGGAAAACAGAACGAAATTATCGGATTCCCTGAAGTCGAGACAATTATTGTCCTCGACTCTCGTTGCCGGCCGGGGCATTACAGAACAGAACAGAACAACACGGCCACTCTTTCTCTCTCTCTCTCTCTCTTTCTTTCTTTCTCTTTTTCTCAACGTCAGATAGGGCGGGCGGAAAAGCACGCGGCCAAACAGAGAGTTTACCTCCATTGCGCATGCACCCTGTCCCCGGCAATTTTTGCCTCTCCCCTCTCTTTTTCTCTCCCCCCACCTCCACGAGACTCACCCGGCCGCGTGGAGTTCTGATCAATCTTCCAGCGTTGCCACTTCTCAATTTACTCCGGCATAACTCGATTCAAGTGGCGAGGCCGCTCCTGACCCGGAGGATATCCCGGCTGGTCAATTCTCTCTCTCACTCTCTCTCTCTCTCTCTCTCTCTCTCTCTCTCTCTCTCTCTCCGCGCGCGCGCAGGTCTGGGGGCTGACTACCCCACCACGGAAATTATGTCTCTTGGTTCCCGCCACCCGTGGGACCAGCCGCACGTGGAGGCTACGGTACGCGGGGCAAAATGGTCCGCTGTCAACAACGAATTTTGGGAGTGGATATGGTCGGGTGGTTCGAGGGATCCTTTTGGGATATTTTTATGGCTGTCTTTAGTCGGAGGTATCTACTGATTCAATGGTGCAATTCAGTAGCGAAGTGGTAAAATGGGTCGACTCATCTCCCAGTTGAGTTTTGAGGAATATCTCCGAATCTAAGGGAGATAGCGGAATTTTCGTAATTGCATTTGTTGTAGCACTCAATCGGCTCTACAAAAAAGGTTATAACAATGATTATTCTATCTCCCTTAGATTCCGAGATATTCATTGAAAAGTGGTCAATACAATTTTAGGAGGACAATTTTTAGTGCGAATTCGGTTTTATGGTTTTATTGGTGGGGATTTTTTTATGTAGATATTGATGAAGTTTTTATGTGAATTAAGGGCGAATGGGGAAACGGACTGTCATGGGTCGGCGGTATCTACTGACTGAGCGGTACGATTTGAATGAGTGAGGTCTCATCGTTTTGAAGAGTAAAAAAAACTTGGAAATTCAAAAAATTGGGAATTCCGCTCTGCCGCTCTCGAGTTGCTGCGTTTTTTTCGAAGGAATTTTATGAGAACAACTTTTATTCAATTCAGCTTGATCCAACTATTCTAGTTTTGAAACGCAAATTTAGTTTTATGGTTTTGTTGTTGAAGAATTTTTATTTTTATGCACCCTTTGACGACTTTTTTATACGAATCAGGGGCGAGCGGGGGAAACGGGATGGGTCAGCTGTCATTTCAAAGATTAAAAAATATCTTGGCAATAAAAAAAATCGGGGAATTTCACTCGGCCGTTCTCGAGTTACTGCTTTTTTTAGAATTTCATGCGGACAATTTTTATTCAATTCGGCGTAATGCAACTGTCCTAGTTTTTGAAACGCGAATTGGTTTGTTTTTATTGTTGGGCAATTTTTATTTTTCCACGTCTTTTGATGAAGTTTTTGCAACAATTAGGGGTGACCGGGGGAACCTGGCTGCCTCGAGTCGGCAGTATCTACTGACTGACAACTGCTCCGATTTGGATGAGTCAGCTGTCACGCTAAACATTAGAAAAATATCTTCAAAAAATCGAAAAATTCCACTCAGCCATTCTCGACTCCATTCTGCCCCACCCCAGCCGCAATTTCCGTTGATTTCAGTCATACTCAACACTCCAATCTATTTTAAAAATCCCAACACATTTGTATTCCCCAAATCGCCGTAGAATTCTCCAGAAAAACCAGTCCCCACATAAAAGCCATAAACCACTGCAGTAAAACCTCATAGTAAATATTTTGATAAAAATCCATGACCCCAATGAATGATCACGTAAAACGTCATCACTCCGCACGGTCACCTTGGGACACGTACAATTGCAAATCCCCCGATTCGCCGCGAGATGGTAGCGCATACGCCGGGTAGAAACGGTACCACGAAGGTCGTCATTAAAAAAAAAAACGCCCTTTTCCCTTCCCCTTTTCTCCACTAAAACCCCCAATTAAAAATTCATCTTTTCTCTCCCCCAAAACAGGTGCAAAGATGAAGAGAGAGCGGAGCGAGCCAGATGACCTGTTTTGCGAGGAAAAAATGCTCATAATCGACGGTGAGTCAGATTCCACTAAAATTATTGTCACAAAAAAAATTCTCCCATTTGTTTGAGTAAAAAAGTCATATCTCATCGACGAAAATCATCGAGCGAGTTCGATTGGGTCCACGTGGACGACCTGTCAGCGTCAATACAGAGACCGCAGTTGGTGAACTGTGGAGGGGATGATGGGGAGACGGTGGGTGTGAGGGGCGGGGGGAGCGGCCGTTATTGAGAGCCCGGGGTGTTAGATATCCGTCAGGGAGCCTTGCGTGTTTGAAAAAAAAAAATGAGGAATGAAGGGGTGGGGAAGCGGCGATACGAACGGTCGTCGACGCTCCTCCATCATCCTCAGGTTGGTGCTAACCGCACCAGTTCGGTCACAACTCGAGTTTAGATCTCAGTCGGCATTTGCGACTCACACGCGTGTGACGTACACTCGGTTTTTTAATTTTTTCATTTTGTTCGCACGATTTTCACTCGATTGCGCGGTGTAATCAGATGTGATCGATTATCTGGAGATATTGATAGGACGCCTTGTGAATCCGGCGATCTGGGGAGATTGATGGGATTGATTGAACTGCAATTACGATTGAGCTGAATTTATTGGAGTCCACTTTCACTCGGCATTTGAGACTGGATTGAACGGCATTTTTGAGACTGTTTTTTAGGTTTCCAGCCATGTTGATGTAGTTTTGGTTTTTAAAGGTGTTCATTGTCTAGTAGCCAAATACAATACACTGATGGGTTTAACATTTCTTTAATAAACAAAAGATTAGTTGTCTGGTATGAATTAATTCAAAAAAGCCGTTCATACAAAAAAGCCGTTCAATACGAAAAAGTCGTTCGCCATGTTGATGTAGTTAGTGGTAATAATGGGCGTTTTGTTGATGGAAGATAGTGCATTGGTACGCGATCACATGAGTGTTATGGTTGGTACGCCATCCAATTTGGGTGGGAGAGGTGTTAATGGGAGTAACAGTGACGTGAGAGGGATTAACGATACTACGTTGGGGGGTGAGTCGAAGGGACTTCCCATGGTTGGGATCATTGATGTTGTCAGTGACGAGAGGCGGTGGACAACAACACCTGCACCCAAGAAAAAATGGATACGTCATTATCTGCTCGGTGAGAAGCGCACCGGAGGATTGGGGCAAAATGGACATTTGTTTTTTTTTCGGGGTTCGTAGATCGGAGTAAATTTGATTTGATGTTTTGGTTTGGAGACGAATTAGTTCAGTAGCGGAGCGGTAAAACGGCTTGAGGATGTCCAAGTAGATTTGACAGTTTGGTGCAGACCATTTTCAATTGGAAAATTCGTTGAGGCAATTGAGTGAGAAATATTTGAAGTTGAAATTTTTCGCAGAATTATTGGTTTTCAAACATTCGTTGGTATGTTAATGAAATTATTTATAAATAATTAAAACTATAAATTATAAAGCAATAATTTGTCATTTATAGTTACAGATTGGAAATTATGAGTAATTAAAATTGTTTAAGCTTTCGGAAAGCTTATTGTTTTATTTGCAGAAAATACTCGGAATTTTCAAAAATGACAATTTTTTAATTATTTCATCAGTCTTGAGAAAAAATAGCCAAAGTACTTGGATACACCTTAAAAAATTCTGGGCTACTTTGGGACTACAGCTGGCCGGAACATGGCCCAGAATTTTTGAAGAAATATTAATTTCAACGGTTTCAATTTTGAACATCACTTGCATTACTTGGATATCCTTAAGTCGACAGTCTTCAGCTGAGTTTTCGAGAAATATCTCCGAACCTAAGAGGGATAACGAAATTTTCGTAATTACCTTTTTCGTAGAGCACACTGAGGGCTCCAAAAACGGTCATGACAAGAATTTCGCTATCTCCGTTAGATTTCCAGATGTTCACACCCGAATGCGCAAGTGTCCATTTTAACCCACTCGCCCCTCAATAATTCTGGAAAAAACTTGAAAAATATTATTCTCGACTGACTGTTGACGACAGGAGGTCGTTTACACGTCCGTCAGTGTCTGAGTGCTCGAGTAATATGTTAATTGAGTTACTGTAAAATCCCTGGGATTTTTTAAATTTTCAGCGCATTTTTTATCATCGAAAATTCGGTTTCAGGGAAATCATTTGCTTTCGGATATTGATAGAAAGGAATTACTCCGTCCTCTCCTTTTACCCCTGCCAGACGTACTTCCAGACGCGCGCACCAGCATGACCGAGAGTCACGTGTCCGTCTGCGTGGTAATCCCCACTACCATTATATTTGTTTCACCGACAACTCCCCTGACCCGCGCTCTCACTCGTCTATCTCGACCACGTGCTATCCCCCCACTTACTTGTCTCACTTCCTCGCAACCCTCCCACTCCTCGATATTCCTGTTACCTCGCCAATACTGCACGCACTCTCATGTTTCCTTGGTACTTTTTGCAAAATTTTCGAGGTGCAAAAAATTGCGGTTTTCAATGTAAAAATGTTTCCGTGTTGTTTATTCATCTAAAAAAAAAATTTATCTCTCGTTTTGTTCAATCGAAGCGATCGGAAATATTGATCGATTGAGTTTTGTTGCAATTTGTAAAATTGTCGAGTTTTTGAGGAGATTTGTTTAATTACAATTTGAAGATAAGGGTATTCGGTCAATATACGTCACGGGGTTATTATTATATTGTCTTTTTAGGCTTCCGTCGTGGATGCATTTTAATCACTGACGCATCCTGTCGGCGGTTTCGTAATCGAATAAGCGTTTCTCGAAGTTTCTTACTCCGATTTGTGGAATAAATGAGGGGGTGAAGGCGAAGTGAACGGACGAAGCTGAGACTAGGGGATTTTTGAGGGTGTGAGGGTGGAAAAATCATGTACAGTCGGGGTTTAAGGGCGCAGAACTACAGTATTTTATTACTCTAAAATATTTCAGTGGCGAAACGGTGAAACGGTTCAAGTAGATTTTGACTAGCGCCCAGTTTTCAATGAACATCTCGGAATCTAAGGGAGGTAGCAAAATTTTTGAGACTACCTTTTTTATAGAACGAATTGAGGGCTACAAAAAAGGTCATTACGAATATTTCGTTATCTCCCATAGATTCCGAGATATTCCTCGAAAACGCAGATTTTCGTTTTACCGATTTACTAGTAATTTGTGCGTCTCTATTCACCTTCGCTTTGTAATGAATGGTTTTTAGTCTTTGATGACTGGAGTTTTTTCAGACTGGATTTCAAGGATGTTTTTTCATTTGAAATGTATTTTTCGAGGTTTGAAATGAGACTTGATGCGTCCAAATCGCAGCATCCGGTCAGAAGATATCGAGGATTTATTTTGGTTTCGGTTCATAGCTCTGGACTCTTCTATTTTTGTCGTGTTTTTTTTATTCTTCCCTTCACTCTTTTCCCCGAGACATCAGGTAAACCAGTTAGTCGGTCAGAAGAGAATTGAACAAATGTGATGCTTCGCCTGGAAAATTCCTCAATATTCAATGATTTTTCTCCGCGTTTTATCGGGAATTTGACAGAAAAGGATGAGGTAAAAATAGTTTTAAGAAGCTACAGAGCAATGCAATACGACTGCCAAGAGCCTAGAAAAGGAGGGGAGAAGATCAACATGAATGAGCCTACCACTGTTAATTTATAGACACTGAAAAAGAATAATAAAAAAATGTAAATAAACGAAGCATTCATGCCGGAACGTTTCAGCTGTTGCACTCGGGTTGAAATTAGGCATCCGATGTTCCTAGTCTCCTTAGCCATTCTAAAGTTAAACCAGACGCCAAGTCATTCAGCTTTTGCTCTATTGTTCTTTTGATTCAACGAGACTTTTTATTTTTCTCATCTATAATTAATTATACAATTTATTTGTCAACAATTTTTGGCTGAATTTTACGCTACACTTTTTCAAAATTTTTGGCCTTCACTTGAATTTCAAGGATTTTGATTGTTGAGAATTCATTATTTTATGGAAAAATTAATAAAAAGTGACAATTTCAGGTCAATTATTCCCGCGAAATGAATAAAAATCATTAAAAATTCCGCGTAGTTTGAAATATTCATGTTTTCATTTTTAAAAAATGCAAAAATCCAATTATTCGAATTTTCTGGATTTCCTACTCGTACATGACAAATTCACAGAATTCCCGTGTAATCAATTCACGATTGTGAATTGGCATGCGCAATTGTCTGGAATAATGCCCCACCGTCTGCATAATTAACTCGATGAAATTGTGATAAATGACAAACCGACGATGTGTTAATGACGATTTCTCCCTCTTTAATTCTGTACAACTGTTTGGTTTACAGAGGAGGATCCGCTCGACATTAGCAGAACGAATGGCAACCACTCGACTACCCTACGGGGCAGTCCTATTATCTCACGTGGAGCACTTACAAATCCAAATACGACTCACACAAACATTCATCACGTTACAACTCATCATCAAATTCATCATCATAATAATCACAATAGTACATCGCACAATCATTATATCGATAATCTTAGTACAAATCATAATCAGAGTACTACTACGTCGGTTGTGGTCGACATGGATTCATCGCATGACAATAAAAAACATCGGAATGGGTAATGAATATTTACATTTGATTTTTTATTGGGGGACTAGATACTCAGTCATTATGAAGTTTTGGATATTAGAAAATATATTGTTCAATAGATTAATGGAACGATAGAAAAATTGCGATGATTAAAAATCAAGAATTAGTTTTTTTTGTGAAATAATTGATGAAAAATTTTTCTGCCTACAATATAATCTCTTCAAAATCGTAATAAATTTATCAGGAATGAGAATGTTCTGGGAAAACTGAAAAATATAAGGGAATTTTTAACAAAATGTCATGGATTTTGTTTTGTTCTGAATGAGATCCCGTTTTCATCGCAATGGGTAATTAATATTTACATTTGATTTTTTATTGCGGGACTAGATACTCAGTCCTTATGAAGTTTTGGATATTAAAAAATATATTGTTCAATAGATTAATGAAACGATAGAAAAACTGCGATGTTTAAAAATCAAGAACTAGTTTGTTTTTTTTACGAAATAATTGCTGAAAAATTTGTCTGCCTTCAATATAATCTCTTCAAAATTGTAATAAATTTATCAATAATGAGAATGTTCTGGGAAAACTGAAAACCATGAGAAAATGTTGAAAAAAAATGTCATGTATTTAGTTTTGTTTTGAATGAGATTCAGTTTTCGATTGCAATTGAAAGAATGAAATGGTTAAACAATGAGAAAAATCAATTGAATTTCAATTTAATTTTCAGACCATGTGTCATAAGATCTGGTACCCGAGAAGTTCACAATAAACTCGAGAAAAACCGTCGTGCCCACCTAAAGGAGTGCTTCGAAATGCTGAAGAAACAGCTACCAGCTCAGGATGAGAAGAAATCGTCAAACCTGTCAATCCTCCATGCAGCAATAAGGCATATTCAGGTGGGTGGCCTTCTCTGCTTTTAAATGACAAAAAATAACATTCAAACTGAATAAAACGTGGTAACACGCACAGCGCGTTGGAATGTACCACGCGGTAGGAATTACAAATTGAAATAAGCCAAATGCGATTTAAAAATTCCACCGCCATTATTTCAACGACACATTCATTACAATAATGTATCATTCCGTTACATGATCAACTTTATCGATCAACGATCGAGCAAATAATAGGGAAAAATTCGATATTTGGAAGTAGTTGCCCCTCCAAGATTTATCCACTAGCTCACGAGTATTGAATGTCAGTGCCGAGTTTAGACTCGTTCACTGTACGCATTCGTATCTAATTTCCATGTGATGAATAAAATATCGACATTTGGATTGCAAGAGAAAACTTCGGAACGAAATAAAGACGAATAATGACAGAGAAATGCACCCCAGTCTTGAAATTTTCCAACAACTTTGGGAATGTATTTTTATGTCTAGTTGTGTCACTGAGAGACAAACAAACACGTTGTCAAACAATTCTCGTTTGGGCCAACAAAATCGCTAGGTAAAAATTGCCAAAAAAGAAGTTGTTTGGTTCGAATTTGAAAGTCACAAACGTGAATAATTGCTCTGCTTTCGACAGCAACGAAATAGTTGCCTCAAGAGGCGGATAATTCACACCAGACAGTGCCTTTTCAAGATGAAAATATCTCGTTTAGAGGAAAATTTATCAACAAATATTTTATCCCTAAATTACAAGATTGCTATCATATCATTATTATTGTTTCATTTAAGGGTTCATTTGTTGTCTGTGATTATTAGACCGTCGAAACGAAAAACTGATATTCCTTGTTTCGCATAAAACAAAGATTTTTCGGGAGCAAAATACGTATGGGAGTATCGAATAACGAAGGAGTAGTGCTAGAAATGACATTTTTTGCGTCTACAGAGAATGCAATTTTTTTTTAACTACTAGGGGAGGATGGGGCAAAACGGCCCCCCTTCAATCGTCAATATTTTCCGATTCAATAATCCGATTGGGATGAGTTAGAGCTCGTTTTGAAGAATGAAAAATTATCTTCAAAATGAAGTTGAAACTGGGAATTTTCACAATGTCATTCACAAGTTATTGACAATTGAAGGGGGGCCGTTTTGCCCCACCCTCCCCTAAATCTATTTTTGCGACAAAAATTTTTCATTCCGGCGCACTCTCTGCATGTTTGGCACAAAAAATCCTTTTCTCAGCACAAGTAAGACTTGTTTGACAACTTTGTCGTTTTTCTCTCAGTGTGGATTTTGAAAAATAACGAAATTATTCGAGGCATCAGCGCGAGTTCAAGAATTCTATTTTTTGAGGAAAATTCGAAAATAATTGATGAAACAAAATTCTCTCAGAATAACATTTTTTTAATCGTAATATATTTTTCAATAACGAAACTGTCCCAACAAAAAACTCCATTCGGAAGCAAAAATGATGAGGAAGTATTTTAAAAATGTCACATGAATAAAACATCAGCATTTTCAGTAAAACCAACGACTTCAGGATGACATAAACATAAAGAATGACAGATAAATGCACTACAGTCTTAGAATTCTCCAAGAACCTTGTCAAAGTATTTTTATGGCTAACACTTCCTTCGTGAGGAGTAACAAAAATTAAAGCGCCGAGGAAAATTTCTAAAACCCCAGAGAAATCGAGACTTTTTAGCACCAATAATTGATGGGCAAAAATTCTTCTCAAAATAATATTAATACTATCCTTTTTACCACAAAAAAACAAGGAAACGTGAAGAAAAAAGAACGCCAGATAGATACCCCAGTATCAAAATTCCCCGAGAACTTGGTCGACCTACTTGAAGTCAATACCAATTTGATCTTTCAGCGGGTTTGGTCAAAGTATTTTTATGTCTAGTGAGTTGGCTTCTATAAGAAAAGTCTCACCGATCTAAACACAGAAGCCACCGTTGCTTTCAAAAATACAATTCGCAACGTTGCACCATCCTGTTTATTCAGATGAGAACAGGGTAAAATGGAGACTTTCTCATTTTTTCCCTATTCATAACTCAAAAACAAATTTTTCAACTGAGCCCGTTTTAGATCATGACAAAGAGGCCAAACTATGTTTTTAATTGGGGAAAAAAATCAGTATATTTATAGATTCAACCATTTTCAATCATCAAATTCGTCAATTAAATCGCGTGAGAAAAATTTGACAAAAAATTACGTCAAATGCCGCTCAAATGAAAGCACTGATTTTTTTTAGCATTTCACTGGAGAAAAAATAGCCAAAGTACTTGTACATCCTCAAGTTGCCTTAGCCCTCAGCTGAGTTTTCGAGGAATATCTCCGAACCTAAGGGAGATAACGAACTTCTCGGTATGACCTTTTTTGTAGCTCTCAATTCGCTCTACAAAAAAGGTCATGACACAAATTTTCATATCTCCTGTAGTTTTCGAGATATTCATGGAAAACCGACCAAGTCAAAATCGACTTGAACCGTTTTACCACTACTGAATTATTCCATTTCATTAGCAACCCAACAAGCCATTAACATTTCAAAAAAGTCGAGTGTCCATTTTACCCCGCCCTACCTCCTCCTGCTCTACCCGCACATCAAGGAATAGAATATAACAGCGAAAAAAAATGCACTATCAAAGTTATCCTTGAGAATCCCCGTCGTACAATTTGAGACATTGAACCTGCCAATGAAGACAACATACACACTCACAGTGTGATAAGCCACACGATAATGACGCCTGTAGACTTGTTATTCCGAGGTAAATAAGTTTATGTGCCTGACCTTCCGCAACTTGAGTTAACGACTACCACGTCATCACATGATTATCTCATGTTTATCGTTCTGCATTAATTTATTTCTCGCTCTGGGTTGCTGGAGGGAATATTAAAAAAATGTTAAAGGACGATTCACTATCATTCCGATAGGACTGGCATTGCGAATATTGTGGTCAATTTATTGATAAAAAAAATAGTGTTGTTATCTTGATGACTCAAGTTCGAGGCTGAATAGGCTGACGCATATGCTCTCATCTTAGCCCCCTCCTCCAGCACCAGACGAGTTTATCATGCTCTCGTCGTTTTCCTATTGGCACTCGTCACGTGATGGGCACAGCCATCGTTATGATACCACATGGCACGTACATTGGTTTTAAAGAATTGCCGAGGCAAAAGTGTATTTCATTTTTTTTTCATGAGCCATTGATTTATCCTCACTCATGCACTGATTTATCCTCTCTCTTGTTATTTATTGGATTGTTTCGACTTGGGGCTGATCCAATGAGCCATCGGAATACTCTACACTGAGGGAAAAACGACAAAGTTGTCAAACAAGTCTTACTTGTGCCAAGAAAATAGTTTTTTGAAAATTATCAAAAAAGGATTTGTTTTGTGCCAGACGTGCTGCAGAGATAGGCATAATCATACATTATAATTGACATTAATTTCGTAAATACCTAATCAAGTAATAGAACTTGACAATTTTCACTTATTAAATTAATCAACAATTAAATTTTTAAATTCTGAATTATTTTACCAACAAGCGAATTCGGAAGATTGACGATTATTTGGATAATCTTTAATACTGTTCAGAAATTTTTTAATTATTTACTCAATAGTTATTTGAAAATTTAAATTATCAATTATTTTACTATTTTCTAAATTCCAAAGATAAATTAATGAATTCAATTATTTTAAGGAAAAATTCTCTTAATATTACTAAAATAATGATTGATGCCGATCTCTGACGTGCTGAGAGTGCGCCGGAATGAAAATTTTTTGTCGCTAAAATAGATTTAGTAGTTAAAAAAAAATTGCATTCTCTGTAGACTCAAGAAATGTCATTTCTAGCACTACTCCTTCGTTATCCGATGCTCCCATACGTATTTTGCTTCCGAAAAATCTTCGTTCTCTGCGAAACAAGGGATAGTAGTTTTTCGTTTCGACTGTCTAATAATCACAGACAACAAATGAACCCTTAAATGAAACAATAATAATGATATGATAGCAATCTTGTAACCTGGGGATAAAATATTTGTTGATAAATTTTCCTCTGTATGAGACATTTTCATCCTGAAAAGGCACCGTCTGGTGTGAATTATCCGCCTCTTGAGCCAAGTATTTCGTTACTATCGACAGCAGAACAATTATTCATGTTTGAGACTTTCAAATTCGAACCAAACAAATTTTTTTTGGCAATTTTCAACTAGCGATTTTGTTGGCCCAAACAATACTTGTCTGACAACGTGTTTGTTTTTCTCTCAGTGTACGTGGGCTTTTGAATCCCCTCTGGCGGTGAATCTTGATTTTTTACTGGATCGATTGTACGTAAGATGTTGAAGATCGTTGCCATCAAGCACGTGTCTGTCAGTGGAGCGCGTGCGCTGTGACCTTTAATGGCTCAACATCTCCACGTGTACATCAAAATCACTACTCTCATAATGTGTTCGTAAAGTTGATGCTGATGGTCACGTGTGCCCGAGTTTTAAATGAGAAATAAACAACTGCAGCTTTGGATGTCTGCCAGAATGGGTATTTGTTAATTCAAGTCGGTTTGTATCGGGGCGTTTATTCGGGAAGGGAAAAGTTGAACCATGAAAGTTGTTGAGTAATCGGGGGAATTAGCAATGAAGTTATGAAACAATCGCTCAATTATGTCCATTGTCCCGTGAAATTGACACCTGTCAAATTCAAGTTTTCAGTAATTCAAATCTACATTTATTATCGGTAATAATTCTTGGACTGTTGGTTATTATTGCAGACACTGAGGAGAAAAGAACGGGATTCTGAACACGAGATGGAGAGACTTGCGAGAGAGAAAATAGCCGCTCAACAGAGGATAGTTGCTTTGAAAAAGGAACTCTCTGCTACTTGGGATCATATTGATTTCAGTACATTATTGCAAGAGCCTAGTTCGGCGATTGATCCATTACAATGCAAAAATGGTAAATCTTTTGTATATCTAGACGTGCCAATGTTGACTAGAGAATGGCAAATATTTATTTCAGGTTTTCTCAGCTGCAAATAAAATTCTTTGATTCTAAGATTAACGTCGAGTTCACAGAAATGTTGAGATTGAAATTTGTTGATAAAAATCTTAGAATGTCAGTTTTTTCCCCCAATTTTTATCATTTTAAAAAAGATCCTTCGAATTTCTTTTCCAAAAACACTTGGTTTTGAGGTGAATGCCAAATTAACAAAGATTTTGACATTAAAATTGAAATCAGTCGACAGAAATTTGAGAATTTCAACATCTTCCCTCCAAACTTTTATCACGAAAAAGAAAATCCTCGGAATTCCCTCCCCAAAAGCTCTCAATTCAGATCGAAAACTGCATCAGCACCAAGTTCACATCGTTCTCCCTTTTCGATTTGAAAATGACCTGATGCAACAACAAATAGAATGCTTGCAGAGCTGTTTGAAGATGGTGAACTATTTAGAAAGCTTTGAAAGTATTCAACAAAATAGTCACCTAATAAAATAGTCCAATCAACTAGATGCCATTGACCACAGCCGAAAATAATTAACACCACTATTTGTCCACCAGTTTCAGAGAGCATGGACGTTGACGTGTCAGGTTTAGCTCGCGGTGGTACGCGTTACAGTAGCACCAGTAGTTTAAGTTCAGCAGCAACCGCAAGCTCCCCCCAGAACCATCAAACAACAAGTACAACACCATCAATTCACAATCAAGTAGCAACAGCAGCAGTTGTATGCCAAACCCAGGGCTTGAATCTCGCTCAGAATTCACGGGAGAGTCCACCAGCGAGTTCCAGTCCAGGTGCATCGACACCGAGTATTCCAACACCAGCTCAAGAGAAAGTCACATCGCCACCAGTTGTCCAACAGTCACACCAGTTGCATCTGCCAATAAGTGCACAGATGTTGAACACAACTCAGGGTTTAGCCACAATAGTACCAACTCTACAGCATCTTGGATCTGGTCTTCGTGTTATACCTGGTGACACGAGGCAATTGCTTGTGACTCACACGACTGGCAGCAGTGAGCCACGACCACTGACACTGGCTGTACAAAATTCAGGGGATCAGGGAAGACCTCTCATTGCTGTACAATCGACAACTGGAAGTGAGCCAAGACCAGTTGCACTTGTTGTGCATTCATCAGCAGCTAATGACAACCGTGTGACATTTGTACACTCTAATTTGTCGAATCAGGAGAGACCACTTGCACTTGCTGTGCAATCGTCAGCCAGTGATGTAAGACCTGTTACTTTTGTACATTCTGGGAATGATGCAAGGCCACTTGTACTTGCTACACATCCACCACCACTCAATGTCACTAGTAAGTTCATTGTACGAGATATTTCTACTGTTTTTGGTAATTACTCGGGAAATGTAGAGTTGAGTATTGAACATTTTACTGATTTCCATCCATTTTCACGTTATTATGAACTGATTGATATGTTAATTTGGGGAATGGTCGATTTCATTGAAATTTCCAGGTCTACGTGACAGTGGAAATTATAATAGGATCAGTCATGGAATGTTGGAAGGGTTCAAAGAATACAATTTTATTATTCCTCAGGCTCTTGAGAAATTTGTCGAGTCATGTCGAGTATTCGAAACATATGAATTGATTGAAAATTGCAAAAATTCCAACAACAGTACAAGGATTTGGAGCAACACATGTCAGTGAATTAGAAATTATTGAAAATTCAAGTGTTATTTCAACTAATCGATTTAATGTGTCCTTTTGAGTATTAAATTTGATAATTCCCCCTAAAATGGCATGTATGCGAGATAAATCCGTAATTACCAAAAGCGTAGAAATATCCATTATCTTGAGGAGTTATTTTAGGGAGAAATGTTTCAAGAGATTTTTTTTTGCAATTTCATCAGCTGCAAAAAATGTCTCGTGGTATTTTCTTCTGAAATTAATCCCTTCGGCGATAAAAAAAAATATTGTAAAATCATATTCTGAGGTTTGTTTACTTCTTTCTCAACAGCACAAGCGAGAATAAGGCCAGGGGACACGCAAACACCCCACAAAATGGTCGGTGGAGTTACGTTGGTGGGAGGCAATGGATCGGAGTTGACGAGACTTCCTGGTGGTGCCGAGTTGAATATTCTACCTGCTAATGGGGTGTTTCGATCTGTCAAGACACAGCCGTTGGCTGTGCAAGGAGGTGATTAATTAATGAACGACAATATATCAAAGCAATCTGCATCAGCACCAAGTTCAATTCGTTCTATGATCTCGATTTTGAAAATGAACTGATGCGAGAGCAAATAGATTACTTGCAGAGCTGTTTGAGGATTATTAAATATTCAAAAAGCTTTGAAAGTAGTCGACAGGATTTTTAAAATTTCCGATAACGATTCTCTTCAATTTAACTAATTGATTTTGAATGGTGGAATTTTTTTGGGTTTGTTTTCAAACCCTTTCAAAGAGATAAATTGATTAGATTGATTGTTTAGTTGATTTGAATAGAAGAAATATTTGCAATGAATGATTTATTCGACAAAATTGAGAGATTTTCATTAAAATGAATAGAAAAATGTTAAATTTAGAGTTTTATTTAATGAAAAACATTTGACAAGAAGAATTTATTTTGTTCTTTATTGACATTGTTAAATAATTTTTTTTTGTACTTTGTGCATCAGGATTGACACTGAGTCACGCTGGCGTCTCCCTCCAAACATCCACTGGCAAGCCAATGATGCAGAGTTCACCGTCCACAGAGAGCATAGCCCACATTGTTGGCCAGCACACAACCCTCTCAGGCCTGACTCCAATAGTAACTCCAATGACAGTTGTATCCCAGGGAAACCAGGTGACAGCTCACATACTGGCCCCCTCGAATCTAGCTGGAAAGATGATAACAACGCCGATACTGAAATCCGTGGGTCAAGTGCCACTCGTCAATGCCCAGTATCTCAATACCACGACCCTTGTGAAGCCAGTTGTCGTTGTCAGTTCATCAAACTCAACACCATCAACAATAGCTTCCAGTACACAGCCTTCCGTCACATCGCATTCCAACGTCTGACAACATCACAGGATAACAAAGTTCGTTTGAGATTGGCTTTGGGCATTTTTTTCGTTTAATTTCAATGTTTGTGATACATCGAGGGGCTCTTGATGGCTTTTAAGAGTTTAACGTGACATATTCGAGGTCGGGAGATTTAATATCCGTTTTGACTATCAAAAATTGGGGGATTTCACATTTAAAAAAATAGTTTATGATGACATTGATTTTAAATTGCACCTGAATTTCCCTACACTGAGAGAAAAATGACACAGTTCTCAAATAAGTCTTCTTTGTGCCAAGAAAACAGTTTTTTGAAAATTATCAAAAAGGTTTTTTTTGTGCCAGACATGTAGAGAGTGCGCTGGAATGAAAAATTTTTGTCGCAGAAATAGATTTAGTAGTTTAAAAAAAAATTGCGTTCTCTGTAGACGCAAGAAATGTCATTTCTAGCACTACTCTTTCGTTATTCGATACTCCCATACGTATTTTGCTCCCGAAAAATCTTTATTATCCGCCTCTTGAGCCAAATATTTTGTTGCTGTCGAAAGCAGAACAATTATTCATGTTTGAGACTCAAATTCCAACCAAACAAATTCTTTTTTGACAATTTTCAATTAGCGATTTTGTTGGCCCAAACAAGACTTGTTGGACAACGTGCTTGTTTTTCTCTCAGTGTAGATTTCGTTATTAAGTCATTGATACATTATTGAAGAACAAATTTAATTGTTAAAGATGTGAAAAATTTGAAACAATTTTGAAAAAATGATATATAACACAAATGAAAGATGATGGATTTTAATACTGATTGAATTTTAGATTAATGTCATTTACTTTGTGTCAACTATCAACAATTGGAGGATTTCAGTTTAAAAAATAGTTTATGATGACATTGATTTGAAATTTGCACCAGACTTTTTCTAGATTTCGTTTTCAAGTCAGTAATAAATCGGAAAAATCTTAAACAATCTTCGAAAGAATTTTATATAACACAAATGAAATGATGAATAACTGATATCATTTTTGATGATTGATATCATCGCTAACAAAAGAGAGTGCTGACGTACTGATTTTTATTATTCTACTAAATTATCCGAAATTTAATATTCATCTTAACTATCAAAAATTGGGGGATTTCAGCTTTAAAAACACATTATGATGATATTAATTTGAAATTCGCACCGGAATTTTCATAGATTTCGTCCTTAAATCATTAATAAATTATCAAGAAACAAATTTATCAGTTCCCTTTGGATAAAGTAATATATAACACATAATGTCACGTAAATGACATGAAATAATGAATAACGGATGTCATTTTAGATTAATGTCATCACTTCCTTTTCATAATTATCTTGAAAGGAGTCAAGACACTAGTGCTGACGTACTGATTTTTATTATCCTATTAAATTATGGATTTCGACAGATACGTCCGACAGAAAATGCCGTCACTCTGAGGCCAATTAATCGTTCCTTTCCTGTATGAATTTGTTCGGAAAAAAAATGTGGCATTGATAGTCTACTTTGTTTGTAAAATAATTTGAGGACTGCTGTTAATTATTCGTGACCAAAGGGAGGAAAATTGAAAGCAGGTGAAATTCTGATCTCTCTCGCTAAATTGCTGTTACTCAAATCAGGCTGTCACAATTTCAAGGCATGTGAAGGCTTTTCTCCATGAGAAATCCCGAATGTTCGATAATTAATCTTCATGAAGCTGTCCCATTGCACGAGATCGAGGAAACGAGGGGACGATGAATCTAAAGTTAAAGGAGATTGATTTTTTTTTTAACAGATGGGACATGATAAGATTGATAATTTATTTAGTTTCATCCCAAACTCGCCAAAATTATGAAATTAGGTTTTTCGTATTATTTAAAAAATTGTCTGTATGAGACTGAAAAATTATCGGATTTGGGTGGGGGGTTGTGGACACTGAGACTGTGATTTGGACATTTTTAAAAAATAATCATCGTATGCCCTCGGAATATTTGAGGGGAGAATACTGCTTTTACTGAAGTTTAGAAAGCTCTGGGCTGCTAGAATGAAATTTCTCAAACGTTAAAGATCGACTGTATATGCATAAAACCGAGGAATGAGCGCAAAAAATTGTTTATTGTCCGTTTCCTTTTTATTCTATTGTTTAGAGTAACAATGACGAATTAATTTTTTTAAATTTGACCTCTCACCAGTCAATTTCGTTTTTGTTTAAGTATAAAAAATGGCAATATCCGCGGAAAATGGCCTGAAAACGTAGTCTCAAAATATTCAGCAAAGAAAAATTCAATTAAATAAGAAAAGCCCACAGAATTATTTTAAAAAAATGGCTATTTAGAGATCGAAATTGAAAAAAGTAATTCCTAATTGTTACATATTTTTAGGAAATATATGAAAACAAAAACTCAAAATTGCTCAAAAATTGAGGGCACTTGATTATTATTATAATTTCAAGTGTCTGTAAGCCAAACGAATGATAAACAATCGCTTTTTCGCGCCAATTGTTCGTTTCTATACAATTATGAGCGATTTTTAACGTATGAGACATGCGCAGTTCCCCCTGAATTCATTAAAATTGATTTTTGATTGACACATTCGAACAAATGCTTAACTATCAATTCGGCAGCTTGCATTCGAGTGTGAATGAAAAATCCGGTGATATTTATCACGCTCAAGAGTGTGACTCCTCGACCGTTGACGGCCTCGAGTTGATTTCCTCAAAAGAAGAAAAAAAAACTAAAAAAAACTTTGTAAGATAGTATTAACATTTACATCCGTATAATTTTTTAATGTAAATTATTTAATCAGTGGCACGAATGCTGGGTTGAATGAACACGAATGAGGAAAAGTCCAATGAAAATAATCTCCCGTTTCTTAATTTCTCTCGTTAGTCGAACGTTTGGCTGGGTGATCGTCACAGATTGAACCTTAAGGATAAACTAAATTTTTAACATGTCTTTTATAAAAAAAAAACAATTGGGTAGAGCAGAATCAATGTCGCTTTTTAAGGATAATCTATCGTTTATCACAATAAACCTCCCCAGATGAATCAATGTTAATCGAACGACTGTTCGTTCGTGTAGTGAATAGTTGAAGGAACAAAATATATGTTACATAATTATAGAAGAAGAGGAAGAAGAAAACGTATCGAAACGCGCATTGCATGGGATATCTGTCGTATTAAAAAAAAACTAAAATAACAGAGGTGAAAAGATGATGAAAAACTAGCTCCAAGAGAAGTTATTCATGTGCGTGAAAGAGAGAGAGAGAGCAAGTGAGAAAGAAAAAAAAAGTATCGTTTATGCGTACGAAAAAAATGTGATAAAAAAAGAAATAATTAATGAAATTAATTAACATTTTTAGACTAAGATTCTAAAAAAAAACATGAAATAAAGTAAATGTTGATTAGAGAATTTGCAGCTAACTTTCTCTACTAACATCTCAACAATACCTAACTGTATATAGTAAAGAGATCGTGATGTTGATGAGATGTTGAATGATTGTACGAAATGCTCAATTAACAGGCGGTTCATTTGGATTTATAACTTTCCTCATTGGGTGTCATGTACAGAATTTTAGGTTGAAATATCTTCGAGGAGTTTTCTCCTCGATCCAATTGAGTTGTCAAACTTTTCGATGATCTTTTTCTTTTATTTATTCGAGCGCTTAATCAAACTCAATTGGCACTGCAGCACGCTTGGTGCATTGAATATCTGAGTAGACCTAACAAGCATGTTCTTCGATAAATATTCTCATGAGGAACTTCTTCGAGACCCGAGTGATTGACAAACTGTACGAGTTCACTGCGAACGAACTGATTATTAATTTTTTTTTTCTAAGAATAGGAGAATATTCTGGAGATGAAAAAACAGACGATATTGTTTCGGTAAGCAGAATAAATTTCGTGGTAAAAGTGAAAAATTTAGATTGAAAATATTGAGATAATGGATTTAATGTTAATGTCTAATTGTACATTAACTCTGTATATTTCTTGTAAATAGATAATTTAATGGTATCGAATTAATTTACTATATGTCTATGTATTTTATTGATTACAGTGAGTGGATTTACGTTTCCTTGTAAACAATACTTTGAAACGAGTCGTCTTGCTGTAATAAAAAAATCATTACAAAAAATTTTAATGTTGTCTTTTTATTGAAGCGATAACACTAACCCCAACACGTAAAGCCAATTTATTGTTCATGCACTGAGGGAAAAGCAGTATTTTCTCAAATGAGTCTTGTTTCAATCGAAAAAATTGGAACTGTAATTGTTCATTTTCTATTCGATCTTCAAAGACAAGAAATTTCTTGTCTTCAAATTCATTCTTAAATAAAATGGTCAAGATGCTGTTTTGAAATCAGCGTGATTAGTCACGTTTGAGACTTTCAAATTCGAATTGAAGATTTTTTTAATTTTTAACTTACGATTTTTTCTAGACTAGTCTGAGAAGTGGCTCATTTTTCTGTCAGTGTGGAGGACTGGATGAATGATTAATACGGTTACTGTTAGTTGATGTTCCATTTATTAAAAATATGCACTAATTCACATTGTCCTATTTCTTTACTTTCAGATAGAGTCAAAGTATGCGCACAATAGTAGAATATTGTCCTCTATCTACCAATCATCGAAACGTTATTTCTTGTTATCAACTTTTCAACTAGCACACGACTCCCAAAATATATTATTTCACGTTTCGCCAGTTATAAAAGACTAGATTACTCTAGCGTTTGGGAAAATATCTTAAGAATCATCTACAGGGACAGGTTTGAAGCATTTCCTAATTTCATTTTGGTCGATTTTAAAGTGTAAATGACGCTATTTTTCTACCCTCAATCCATCACGAATTGTCTATAATTTAGAATAATAAGAAGAAATTTGCTGTTAATATTTTTTATAGCTGGGAAGAGTTCGTCAGTTTTGGTTTTTTGAAATCTTGGATGATTAATCACTTAAAAATAACATACGGAACATCAGTTGCATTTCAATTCATTTTATATCAACGATCAACTGATAAAACTAGTGCGTATTGTACGAAAGTGCAAAATTATCACCTATTACACTAAACAATATAGTTTTTATGACAAAGTGATCAATGAAAAATTGATTAATCAATTGATCGATAAATTCTCTCATTAAATATATGAGAGTGAAATTCTGAAAATTAAATGGCACTATGAAATGCTGAAAACGTCAACTCTGATGGATCTCCATTTCCTCGTCGCATACATCTAGCACTCCTAAATAACAAAAAATTTTTTTTTTCATGTTCTGAAGGAAATCAATAGCCCGGGAATGGAGCATTCTGAATGAAAAAAAATCTTTTACACTAAACAATACAGTTATCATAATAGAGTGATCGAAAAGTGAAAAATTAATAAATCAATTGATTAATAAATTGCTGTACTAAGGGGATAATTCCAAATAATGAAAATGAAATGGCACGATGAAATGCTGAAAACATAAACTCGCGATAAAAATCTTGAATAAAATGTGAAATGTTGAATTTTCATTTCTCGTAAATAATAAAATTCTTTCTTTGTTCACGTTATGAAACGTTTTTTCTAGAGCCAATCAATGATCACGGAATTGAGCATTGTTACCGGAAAAATCTCTTCGCTGAGTAATAAAAAAAATTGAGAGTAATATGAATCAATGTTATAAATCTCATTCATCGAGTTAGAAAAGGAGTTAGATCTTTGCACACGTGCTCCATTCAGACTGCCTCAAGTGCTGGAAAAGTAAGACAGTATAAAACTTAAATTTATCCATTGATAAACCCACACGGATTTGAATAATAGGTTTTTTTGGTAGACGATAGAAAATATTGACAAGTAGTTATTTTGCACAAAGACACACAATTTGCTAGAAGCTTTCGAACGCGTGAAATTCGAACACATTTTTTTTCACTACCAAAATTATTACTTGTAAATAGGCCTCTTGATTATGTTAATCAAGGGGTAATTTAACAATAGCCTGGGTTACAACTTGGCTAATTATAATTGCAATCATATCGCGAGGGTAAACGATCACCTGACGAGTAATTCCCATGATGTTTTCCATTTTACATCCATTATGTCGTTTATTTAGTCAACATCAAGTGTAGAGGGAAATTCCAAATACTTGGGTTTCATAATCTTTGATTGAAGTTGACTGTACACGCATGAAAAAATTTAGTAGACTTTCTATTGAAAAATTTCACTTGTTTCATAGAAAAATGCCTATAGATATTGATTTTTCTACCTAACTTATTCTGTTTTGGATTCTTTCAAATGAAAATTACTAAAATTAAATTATTAAAATTACGTTTTAATTAATTGAATTAAAATAACAGGGAAAAAAAACTAGGAAAATTTACATCCAGGAATTTTCTGCAGAAAAATAAAAATCTGTTGTTTGTTTTTAATAAAATATCTCTCAACGACACAAAAAATAAACGAGATTCTAATGGAAATTCTTCAATAGAAATATTCGAAAAAACGCTGGGTTTTTCAATTAAATTTTTTCATCCCTGTAATTTTAATGGCATGAGACTCTAGGAGGAAGACGATGGATAACTTCGAATCTATTCAGATTAAAAATTATCAATAAATTGATTATCTTTGTACTCAGATGCGTCGTTTTGTCATTATTATCCATACATTTTTTTCATCTTATCATTTTCTACACCAAAAATATATCCGACGCACTGACACTACATTGGGGTGTTCGAGAAGAGAGTTATCAATTTAATCGATTGAAGTTACAGGGTCATCTAATTAGTGTATGTACATTTTGACTCCAGCTATTATGTACACGTATCTTCTCAGCTGTTTTATTTTTTCATTTCATTCCTTAGTCAACCAGATGATCGTGCTGAAAAATCGCGTTTCTCAATCTTCGTTGAGATTACCTACACATGTTGAACACAATTGTCGAAAAGACGTACTGGATCACAATTGATTTTTTCAATTTTTTTTCTTTTTGATGTTTTAACTCTGATTTTTAGAGAGTAACTTAGCTGACCGCCGGATTTGCTACTGTTTACGGCTATTGCGCGTATTTCTGTTCTATAAAGTAAATAAGGTAAAAATTGTAAATTGTATAATTCAGTTGTGAAATAAAGAAATTTCAGAGTAAAATTATTTTTTTTTATAATTGAAGATTTGGAGAATGAGTTGAGAAATTAAGGAAGAAGAATGTTCATAGATTTTTTCATCAATTTTATCACATAATTTGGTGATTTGAATTTCTTTTTTCTGTCCATTTTGTATTTATATTGGGAATAAATGGTTTCACGAATGAAAAAATTGAATAGAAAAACGTAGCGCTCTCTCTAACAAATTCTATTTATTTTTGCACCGATTGACGCAAAATTATGCAACTTCATGTTGATTTTTCTGTTGAGATTTTCTCTAGAAGATTTTTGAATAAATAGAATTTTGAATAAAATTCTAATAGAAATTCAATCGAATTTCTCAGAGAAGGCATTAGGGTTTTCTATTAAATTTTTTCACATATTTTTTCACAAATTTTTCAGAGAAAGAAATGTCCCACAAAAAAACGTTTAAAAAAGTATAAAATCAATTTTTATGTCGTCATTTCCCAACTAAACTCGTTATTTTTTTTCGTTTGTGCTAACGAACGGAATGATAATATAGCCTCCGTCTCCGAGACTGGACCATCGTGATGAATATGTGCGCGGTCATTTCCCGACAGTAATTTCGCCCGGAGGAATAAAACTCGATGCAAGTAACTGTTCAACTCTAATGCTCGGCATTTAAACTATTTACCAGAAATATTGAGGTAGAAAAATTCGGGGGAGAGAGAGACGAAAGTTTGTGTAGGATAGCTCTTGTTTCATGTGGAATCAGAGTTAGTTGAGAGAAATTCGGTGGCAGTAATTATCAAACATATCCTCTCGTCACAGCTGCAGTGCGCACTCTGGGGGGATACGTGGGGTAGAATTCATTGGATAGATCGTTAACGCTCGTTGATGAATCGTACTGTGAATTACTTGGCTCCAGGTATTTTAGCTAAAACCTGGGGACAGATGAAGAACAGGACGAGTCAAAAAATTTGTATTACAATGAATTTCAATGATTTTGAAGCTTTTTGGAACTTCAAGAGACTCTAAAATTCGTGGAAATTCATAGAGATTTTGTAAAGTTAAAAAAAATCGAAACCTAACTGAAGTTTACCATCAGTTATTGAAGTTATTGAAGTTATTGAAGTTACAAATATTGACTAAAAATTAATTTTGAATCTTTTTTTTAAGTTTCAAAAGACTTTGTAAAATTCCTGGGAATTCCTAGCCATTTCATAGACCTTCAAAAGCTAGAAGGCGATAAATGAAGTTTATCATCAGTTATTCAATTTAATTATCGGAGTTGATTTCCCCTACACTGAGAGATAAACGACAAAGTTCTCAAACAAGTCTTACTTGTGCCAAGAAAATAGTCTTTGCAAATTATCAAAAAGGATTTTTTTATGCCAAACGTGCAGAGAGCGTGCCGGAATGAAGAAATTTTTGAATACTCCCATACGTATTTTCCTCCCGAAAAATCTCTGTTTTATGCGAAACAAGGGATAGTAGTTTTTCGTTTCGACTGTCTAATAATCACAGACAACAAATGAACCCTTAAATGAAACAATAACAATGATATGATAGCAATCTTGTAACTTAGTGATAAAATATTTGCTGATAAATTTTCCTCTGCATGAGATATTTTCATCCTGAAAAGGCACCGTCTGGTGTAAATTATCCGCGTCTTGAGCCAAACATTTCGTTGCTGTCGAAAGCAGAGCAATTATTCATGTTTGAGACTTTCAAATTCGAACCAAACAACTTCTTTTTTGGAAATTTTCAACTAGCGATTTTGTTGGCCCAAACAATACTTGTTTGACAATGTGTTTGTTTTTCTCTCAGTGTAGCGTGAATAAAATAGAATGAAACGTAATGGAAATGATTTTACTTTGGAAAGATCAACACCAGTGAGTGCTTGAACGGCAGGGGGAACTTGACCAACGAGACGTGTCAATTCTCCGCTGGTTCCATCGTTGCCACCCAGCAAGACGATCTCTTCTGTCCTGGCAAGTGGTGCGGCAACTTCGGCAGCGATCTGCGGAAAACAACACGAAATTAGTAATTAATTACTCGTTTCCCTGAGAACTGGTGAAATGAGTTACTGGAGCGATTGGCTACCTTCGGCATGGCGTTGAGAACGATATTAAGTATTGCAGCATCGTTATATTTCTTGTAAACACCAGCTTTGAGGCGCATTCTCTCGGCCTCGGCCACCCCAACCACTTCGAGACTCTGGGCCTCAGCTTCACCCAGCAATCGAATTTTTTCCGCCTCTGCTTTTGCATTTTCTACAGTTTGCATTCTGAAAATTAATGAGTAACGGATTAAATTTAATATCATTGTCAATTATGTATTTCTCCATGTTTTATTCCCTCACCACTCAATTAGGAAATCGAGGGTGATTTTTTCGTGTAATTAAATACCTCTTTCCCTCCGCAATTCTCCCCATCTTGTAGTACTCAGCCTCAGCAGGTAAACGGACAGTACTTCTCAACTCGTGCTCCTTTCTACGTACTTCCTGCTCTTCAACTTCAATCTGCTTGCGCCTCTCTACAACCTCGATCTGAATCTCCTCATTCCTTATTTTCTGCTTGATCTTCGCGGCTTGAAGTTCGTAGGCCAGTTGGGCCTCAGCTTTCTACGGAGCAAGAAAATAAACCATGTGGGAATTAATTACTCGGTGATGTCGCGTGCGAAAAAATTTCGCAGAAAAACGTTCGGAATTCGATAGGAAATGGGTTTATAATGATTTCATGACTCCACAGCTTATCTGTGATTTTTCTTAATAAAAATGTAAAGTGTGAAATACCCTATAGAAAAAATCAATAGAATTCGATGTCTGTACTATTCTGTTTGACTTTTCTAATGAAAAAAGAAGCACTGGAGTGGAAAAAATGAGAAAAATCAGTTCGAGGAATTCCTGTAGGAGATTAATTCCGCAAAATAAGATAAAAATATTCAGCGGAAAAAATTCTATAGAAAATATCAATAACATTCGATTTTTCCATAGAAATTCCCCAGCTCAAACTTTCCAAGTTTTTTCTTTGATTTTTTAAGTGAAAAAAGAAAAAAATAGAGTGAGAAAAAATTGAAAAATTCATTTTCAGAAATTCCCATAGGCGATAAATTCCTCGAAATGATTTTTCTATATCATCGTTTCCACTGGGTACTTTCTATTTGAAAAAATCGATACATTTGTTTGATTACAAAATTTTTTGTGCGCCTAATAAATGAAGATCACCTCGTAAAATCGATAAAAAATGTCGTCGACTTTCACTCGATCCAAATTCACCTTCAATTTCAAAACCCACAATTGCGCAAAATTACATGGAAGTCGATTATTACGAGAGCGCAACAACGTGCTGATGAATACATCATTCGATGATAATTATGAATGGAATTCCATGTGCGTTCACGTTAACCAACCGTCACGTGCGTCAATTATGTAGCGATTCACTCGAGTGTCATAACTCAGGGAACTATAGATAACTTGTGCGGTATTTGCATTGATCCGTGTTTATCGTCATCACGAGTAACTTATTTTATTTGTGTGGAGGCAACACTTACAGCCGTGTTGACTTCTTGATCGAAATTAGCCTTTTGTAGCTGATAGAGTCGCGCATTATCCTCGATTTTTGTATCCGTGTTGTACTTTATGTCCATCGCTGATTTTTCACATTCAGCTTCCTGAAATCACACGGATGACGATGAGAAAACACGTCGATACGATTAAAAATGAGAATTAAGCCATCATAAACGAAGTGGTGAACCGATAAATCAATTAAAACATCTTGATTATTGGAATTTACGTAATTTTGGTCAGTTTTTGATGAATATCTCAGAATCTGAGAGAGATAGCAAAATTTTTGTCATGACCTTTTTTCCAACCCTCAATGAACTCTACAGAAAAGGTCATGACAAAAATTTTTCTATCCCTCTTAGATTCCGAGATATTCGTCAAAAACTGGCCAATAGTCAAAATCGACTTGACCCGGTTTACCGCTTCGCTACTGAATTACACATGAATCTTCTCACCCTGATGCCAGCGTCACGATTGGCTTCAGCCACTCCAACATCCGCGTCTCTCTTCACCGCTGCCGTTTGAGCCTTTCCTAAGGACGCAAGGTACTGGACATTATCGTAGACATCCTTAATGGTGAATGACAGAATTTCAATGCCCATTCGACCTACGTCTGGAGCCGCCACTTCTCGAACGAGGGTCGCGAACTGATCGCGATCTTTGTAGACTTCCTCCACCGAAAGTGTACCTAGAGAATAATTGTAGGGTCTATCACACTGTCACACGAAACTCTTCCATTCCTAAAAGCCCTTTAACATTTCAGCAGCGAAGTGGTCAAACGGTTTAAGTCAACTTAGCTCTTAGCTGAGTTTTCGAGGAATATCTCAAAATCTGAGGGAGATAGCGAAATTTTCGTACATATCTTTTTTGAAGCTCTTAATGAGCTCTACCAAAAAGGTCATAACAGAAATTTTGCTATCTGCCTTAGATTCCGGGATATTCATTGAAAACTCATGAGTAGTCAAAATCGACTTAAACCGCTTGACCACTTCGCTACTGATTTGTTAATTTCCTTGAAGGCGAGTTTATGATAAATATTGCTCAATCGAGTGGCAATTTTTCCAGAGGATTTTTTGTGAAGACCCTCGAAAATCTCACCGAGAATGGCACGAAGATGTCCCTCGAGTGTCGACAGGATAGTGGACTTGATCTCATGAACACTTTTGCCGAGAAACTGTTCACTCGCGGTGTGCAGGAGCTCATCCGCCTTCATGATTTTGCACTGGGCAACACCTGTCACAGTCAGGGGTACACCCTGAGCAGTTTCTACGCTCTCGCACACGGGGTTCAGGGTCATTACCTCCAGGGAGAGACGCTGAACGTCCGTGACGAACCACCAGCAGAAGGCGTAGCCTCCCACTATCGTTCGTTTCCTCGTGGAGCCACAGCACCCTCCTGAAATCCGAAAGAACAGAATAATGAATATAAATAATCATTTGCATGTCAATTTTTTGGTAGTGCTCATTTTTTATGTGACAGTGACTCGTTGATAGGGATCCCCACCAATATTAAATGTCTGTAATATTACAAGGATTTGTCCCTTGCATTATTGAAGGTTTAAAATATGTTGATTCAATTTTTCAAATAATATAATATCAATAATCTGATTTTTTACGAATAATAATGTATTTAAAATTTGTTAATATGAAACTGTAAATTTACTATTACTAAGGGAATAATTCGATTTCTTGAGAGGGGATTTTCGATCACACGAGTAATCGTCAATCTTCCTACCTCAAATTATTGATTGATAAAATAGTTGACAATCTGAATATTTGAATTGATGATACTTAAGTACTCAAAAAATTTCAAGAGTGATGTTATCTAATTAAGGGCTACAATATTAACCGTAATAAAATGTTACAAATTTGGCTATCCCTGCTCGTTGAATTATTTTTTATTATTTTTTATTTCAGTAGTGAAGCGGTAAACCGAATTAAGTCGATTTTGACTATTAGCTAGTTTTTGCTGAATATCTCGGAATCTAAGAGAGATAGCAAAATTTTCCTCATGACTTTTTTTATAACGCTCTATTGGCTCTACAAAAAAGGTTGTGACAAAAATCTTTCTATCTCTTCTAGATTCCGAGATATTCGTCAAAAACTAGCCAATAGTAAAAATCGACTTAACCCGGTTTACCGCTTCGCTACTGATTTATGAAATTGTATTATTTTTTATTTAGGAAACTGCTTCATTGACTCAACAATTCAATGATTGAGGCGATAAAGTAGTTTCATAGATAAAAACTAATAATTGAAGGAGAAAACCCAATTCTAAAAGTTGATATCGACACAGGGGTTCCGTTTCCCCTTAAGGATATTCGACTTTGGTCTCGGTCCCTGGAGTATTAAGCACATTTTTTGCTTTGACCCGAAATAGAGACCACTAGTAATTATTGTGTTTGGACGTAAGAACATTCTCCTGAAAATTGGCGACGATGTCACTGGGAATTAATCATAATGTCATTAAAAATTTATGACAAAATCACTGAATTTCAGAATTTTGGATTCATTCAATTTCCCAATTTCGGATAGATTTTTGAGAATCCGTGACATGTCCCTGAAAATAAAAATTTTGTTTTCTCCGGGTGAACGAGCGTTCCAGAACACGTTGGGAGTATCAACGTATTCGTTCGAAACGATGGACCACGTGACAGGCCACACGTCACGAAGAAAAGAGTGAACGTGAGGTGCAACAGGTAGGCACCTGTTGAAATCTCGGTCGAGTATAAGGAAAAGAATTCAATCCTTGCGACCATGTAACAGTTTATGAATTTTTTGCGTCATTTCTTCGCCCCTGAAGGGTTAAGAATGAAAATAAATTAATGAATTAGTTCATGTTGACAATTCTCCCGGAAGTTATTTCATGATTAAGTTTAACGGTCAGGTGTATCGCATTTATCTTGGGATATGCATAATTTTATGTCACTTTATTACACCTCGAGTCTTTGGAAAAAATAGAATAGTCAGGCTGGCTGAAAAAGTAGGTCAATGAACCATGGGGGCACGTCATTCTGCTATGCCACGTGCCATTGAATTTTCGTACTGGGAATTAAGTTTTTGTGAAATGTTTTTCATCATTTTCAACATTTCTGACATCAGAAATTTTAATTAATCCTCATTACATCCTAGGATACAAAACATTTGAAATTATTTTAATAATTTGGTCATTATTTTTAAACCGTTAGAAAACATTTCACAAATCAGAAAACAATAGGAAAATTTTGTGTTTGAGAAATATCAATGAAATGATCGAAAATTTTGAATTTTTGAAGACTATGAGTTCAAAATTGATGCCTCAGACATTAACAAGAATGAGTCATAATTTCGAATGTCAAAATGTGAAGAGAAATTTCAGTTTTTGCACTGAAAATTACAGTTTCCATTATTTTTCCATAAAGAGCCAATTCCATTCAAAATTTTCCCGGAAATTGATTCCATTCCAAAAAAACATGTCCAAAATTTCAAACGACATCCATTATTCATTCCCGAGAGCAGAATGTCTGAAAAAATTAATCTTCTGCGAATTTACCTGACAAATTAATTCAGTAGCAAAGTGATAAAACGGTTTGTCGACTGATCTCCCAGTTTTTGAGGAATATTTCCTTACCTAAGGGAGATAGCGGAATTTTCGTGATTACATTTCTCGTAGCTCTCAGTCGGCTCTCCAAAAAAGGTTATAACAAAAATTCTGCTATCTCCCTTAGATTGCGAGATATTCATTGAAAACTGGCCAACAGTCAAAATTGACTTGAACCATTTTACCACTTCGCCACTGAATTATCAAACTAATTAATTAGTAAAGGTAAGGTATTTACATATCCTTGAATCTCGAAACTTGCCGGCCAGCGGTGCTGATTTCCCCCGAGATGGACCGCTACCACGTTGGAAGAAAAACGAAAAACCGGTCTAAGGGAAAGGATGTGCGAGGGGAGGTGGGATGTCGGTGACCCGTTATACCACGTTGTGTAGAGTTCCCCACTATAAAGAGTTCATTTCAAATGATAGTATAGTTCTACCATCCGTCCGGAAGGTCATGGTCACACCAAGAATTTTCCCATTCAGTCCTGCGTCAATAGAAACCCAATAAAAGAAAATTTCCTCCATCGAATGTCATCGATTTCCCCGGGACTTTCCTCAATTAGAATTCTTCTGGAATTGAGTGGAAAGAAAAATTGATGAGTGTCGTTAGTGCGCGAATAAGGTGAGTCAACTTCTTGATGGAGAGGAAAATACGGAGTCGTGATGACAGTGACATAGAAATAAAAATAGTCAACTAAATTATCAGAGAATAGCTGTTTACGAGACTGGGCTACATTTCTTAGTGAATTACCATATAACGATACTGGACTTCCTCGGAGGAGAGTGTCGTGACGATAATTACCTCACCACAGAGAGTTTCACAAAATCAATTGTTATTCCCGTGGCATCGCTTGGATTACGGTTAACCGATGTCCCACACATACATTCGACAGAACACAAATGAAATTTTGAGGATTTGTTCCGGGTATACCTATGGGGATCGAGGGTTTGGGACTTCAGTTGTGTCGAGATTGTCGTTAGAGACCATCGATTGGATTTTTTATTTGCTTGAGGGATAAAGACGTGTTAGACTCTTGATTAAAGACGATTTAACTGACTAGTGGGACTTCTGACGAGGGCAATAAGTTCCGGAAAATGTAAGGGTGTTAAGGCTCGTTTATTTTCAAACGAATTTCCCTCAGTTATTTGCATCGATTTTACAAAAATTTAAAAGAAGCGGCGTTACCCTTTAAATAGGACTCGTCGAAATTTAAAGCTCCTGCATCTGTTGATATTATCTTAAGGAGATAGTTCAATATTCCTTAAAAATGGTTGCGGCAGACAGGAAAGCTCGTGATTAAAGTCTGATGATGTGTGAGAAGTGAAAAATATAACGAGTTGTACGCGGAGAGAAATGTTCAGTAAAAATTACGGAACTCACAGTTCGCTCGCCGATTACTGAGATAGAAATTACGGAACGCTTTGGAAAAATTCCGTGACAGTTCTGTGAAATTTCCTACAAGCACATTTCGCTCCGGAATTACGGAAAAAATACGGAATTTTTATTGAATATTTCTCTCCGTGTATGGGTTAAATTTAGTTTGCTGTCAATTGTCCTTTTATTTGAGAAACAGTGATGTCAGGAGACAATGACAACAGGCTTGAAGTAAAAACTTCTAGAAAATGCTACAGCGTTAGGAAGACGTCATCGTGGAGTAATAAATTATTCTGAGCTGAAAAATTTCAGACATTTCAAGTGAATGCACTTTGAAATTGAAAGTTTCTTTGGATTTCTAGATTCACATTCAGTCTTTCTGCGTTATTTTTCAAGAAAACAGAAAGTTTCTCCTTAAACTTATGAATTGTATTGAATTTTTTTCTTTTTACTCTGAACAAAGTCATCAATTTTCAATTTTTTGCACAAAATTATTTTTTATTAATTAATAAAAAATTAATTTAAAAAAAGATTAATATTAATCAATCAAAATAATATATTAATTTATTAATATTATTAATTAATTAATATTGACACGTACGAAATTAATATTGAAAATACGGAGTAATTAATATTGTTTAATTAATTAATATTGATTAATAATATTAATAAATATAAATAATTAATTAATATTATTATTATTATTATTTTTTTATTTTTTTTAAATTTTTTTTCCCACCATCTAATGAATTAAAGGAGAATGCCATATTTCCCAAACAATTCGACGATATTCATGAAAAATATCGGTTCATTCGTTAACCTTTGGTAATCTTCAGTGAAAATGGAAATAAAATTTTTGACTGTATTTTATTCCATTTTAGATTGTGAGGATTGTCAGAATAAATTATGGGTGTCGAGTCGACACTAGTTACCGCTCTTGGAACGGTCTCCGGTGGTGTCGGATGGTTTTTCCCAGCCTTGGCAATGGCCGTTGCCTACTTCCAATATGAAGTTATGGATAAAGAGTCACAACCTATTGATATGCCGACAGAATTGCTCCTCCCTTCTTATGATTTCATTGTTGTTGGGGCTGGATCTGCAGGTAAATTTTCCTACTCTGGGGGTTCGTTGATCTTTGTTTTAGGAAGAATATATCCACATAGAAAAAAATTCGCAAATAAATCTAGCGAATTCGCTAGAAGATTCTATTGGATTTCACGTTCAATGGAAAATATTCTAAGAAAAAAATTAACATAATTCGATTTCTTCATGATATTATTCTGCTAAAAATTTTTTAATAGAAATTCCTTGGCGGAAATTTTTAATGTTTTTTTTTCTCAATGAAAAGGGAAGAAAAATAAATTTAGCAAACTGGTAAAATTCATGTAGAGGAATTTCTATATAAAATTGTCTCAGTGTAAAAAATTGTATAGAAAAATGAAATTCGACTGATTTTATACGAAATTTCTTCGTGCGTGTCATCATGAAATCATTCACCTAATCATCAATTTTTTAAAATTACTATCATTGTCTTGAGATCATCTTTTTTTGTGATTCAGGGGCAGTTGTCGCGAGTCGCCTATCGGAAATCGAAAAATGGAATGTTCTGTTGTTGGAAGCCGGCGGTGATGAAACTGAAATATCAGATGTCCCGCTTCTCGCTGGGTACTTGCAACTAACGAAACTCGATTGGAAATACAAAACTGAGCCCCAAGGAGATGCATGCCTAGGTAAATAAACGTCATGTGTCAGATGCACATAAGAGACAAGAATAGTCGAGTTAAACACTTGCAGAATATTCTCGGCGTGTCATGTCACTCTCACAGATTTCGCCGTAGAAAGTTCCTCTTTCACTCGTATCGATTCCAACGAAAAAACGTGTAAAACAGACATCAAAGTACACATGCATAGACATATTATATTCACTGTATGTAAAGTGTTGAATTTTTTTCGAATTCAAAGAGTTGTGCACCAGTTGGATTTGACATTGAACTTTTCTGATTTGCATTGAAGAATTCAGTGATAATTTAATGAACATCAATTGATTTTTAAATGAATGCAGGATTTAGAATAATAGTCACGTAGTCAATAGAAAAAAAGGATGAGATTTTGAGTTTTTAACAGAATAAGTTTTATGAAAAATTCAAATCTATTGAATCATTATCTGTTTTTTTTTGTTAAATTGTATTGACATGTAAGATTTTTTCTGCAACTTTCATTATTACACTGTAAAAAAGAAATGATATTTCGTGGGCAGTTGAGTAGGAATTTTTAGGAGAGTAATCAATATAGGGGAGAAAAGAATGAAATTTCAAGTTTCAATAAAAATGACAATTCTGTTGTTTTTTTTTTCACCGAGTTGTAAATTTTTAATGAGAAAATTCCTTGAAATTCCGGTGGTACCGTCAATTGATAAAAAGTTTCTCCTAAATTCGTTACAGCCCACACTGAGAGAAAACGACAAAGTTTTCAAACAAGTCTTACTTGTGCCAAGAAAATAGTTTTTTGAAAATTATCAAAAAGGAATTTTTTTGTGCCAAACATGCAGAGAGTGCGCCGGAATGAAAAATTTGTCGCAAAAATAGATTTAGTAGTTAAAAAAAATTGCATTCTCTGTAGACGCAAGAAATGGCATTTCTAGCATTACTCCTTCGTTATTCGATACTCCCATACGTATTTTGCTCCCGAAAAATCTTTGTTTTATGCGAAACAAGGGATAGTAGTTTTTCGTTTCGACTGTCTAATAATCACAGGCAACAAATGAACCCTCAACTGAAACAATAATAACGATATGATAGCAATCTTGTAACTTAGGGATAAAATATTTGTTGATCCTGAAAAGCCACCGTCTGGTGTGAATTATCCCCCTCTTGAGCCAAATATTTCGTTGCTGTCGAAAGCAGAACAATTATTCATGTTTGAGACTTTCAAATTCGAACCAAACAAATTATTTTTTGGCATTTTTCAACTAGCGATTTTGTTGGCCCAAACAATACTTGTTCGACAACGTGTTTGTCTTTCTCCCAGTGCATTTATCATCAAATATTTCAAGGCTCTCCACGTTCTCATTACATTCCAGCGATGGAAGGGGGCAGATGCAATTGGCCCCGAGGGAAAGTCCTGGGTGGTAGTAGTGTCCTTAATTACATGCTGTACCTCCGTGGCAATAGAAAAGACTACGACCTCTGGGAGCAGCAGGGGAATCCCGGCTGGAGTTCGAAGCACGTGCTCCACTACTTCAAGAAATCCGAGGACAATCAGAACCCCTACCTCGCGAAAACCATTTACCACTCGACAGGTGGCTACCTGACCGTCCAGGAGGCGCCCTGGAGGACGCCCCTGGCCACGGCCTTCGTGGAGGCCGGCCAAGAGATGGGCTACCAGATCAGAGACATCAACGGGGCCCACCAGAGTGGCTTCATGATCGCCCAGGGGACAATCAGAGGCGGCAGCCGGTGCTCGACCTCCAAGGCCTTCCTTCGCCCTGCACGACTGCGTCAGAACCTTCACGTCGCACTCAACTCTCAAGTCACTAAAGTTCTCATCGATCCCAACACGAGACGAGCGTATGGTGTGTCGAATTTTTCATCACTTCATTTTACCTTTTGGTTATTTGTAAAAAGCAAAACGGAAATTGTTATTAAAATCCTGACGATTTTAATGAAATCGAAGATAACTTTCATCAATAATCTGGTAGCAGTTTTCAGACGGGATTAAATTTTTATCTAGGAAGAAAAAGCGAATGAAATTAATTTTTAATTTAGGGATATATTCACATGAATTTTCCCTACTTTGCGGGGAATAGTAGAGTGAAAATTTACAAAACTTGATTATTTGATGAGAAAAGTCTGTGAAATTGTGAATTTTTAAAGCCAAAATTTCCTAAAATATCAAAAAATTCCGGCATCGTTCATTAGATTATTAATATTAAGAAAAGTTGCACCTCAAAATAATTAAGGTTTACTCATCTTCATTCACTTATCTTCACTCATCTTCATAATCTAAATTTTCAATTGACTATTGAGTAAATGATTCTAAATTTCACAAAAGGCTTTTTCGATTAACCAAATAATCGTCAATTTTCCGAACTCAATTATTGATGGATAAAATAATCTGAAATTTTAATATTCAATTGGTGACTATTAATTAAAATTTCCACTAATGTCGACGTCCGTTCGAAATTCAGTAGTGAAGTGGTCAATCCGTTTAACTCGCCTCAACTCCCAGTTGAGTTTTTGTTGAAGAACTCCGAATTTAAGAAAGATAGCGAAACTTTTGTAAAATCTTTTTCGATAGTCTTCCCTTTTCTTTACAAAAAAGATTTTTGGGAAAATTCCGCTGACTCCTTTAGAATTCGAGATATTCATCGAGAACTGACGCTGGAATGGAAATGACTTAAACCGTTTGACCACTTCCCTACTGAAATAATCGTGAATTTTCCGAACTCAATTATTAATGGATGAACTAATCTGGAATTTCAATATTCAATTGATGACTATTAATTAAAATTTCCACTAATATCGACGTCCGTTCGAAATTCAGTAGTGAAGTGGTCAATCCGTTTAACTCGTCTCAACTCCCAGTTGAGTTTTTGTTGAATAACTCAGAATTTAAGAAAGCGAAATTTTTGTAAAATCTTTTTCGATAGTCTTCCCTTTTCTTTACAAAAAAGATTTTTGGGAAAATTTCGCCAACTCCTTTAGAATTCGAGATATTCATCGAGAACTGGCGCTATAATCGACTTAAACCGTTCGACCACTTCACTACTGAATTCCCTCTAAATTCAATGCCTCAAATACCAATTTCAGGAGTGGAAATGGTGCGAGGGGGTCAGATGTACCGAATCCGTGCGCGCAAAGAGGTGATTCTCTCCGGCGGTTCCGTGAATTCCCCCCAACTCCTGATGCTCTCCGGAGTGGGGCCGAAGGACCACCTGGAGCAGCACGGCATCCCAGTCATCCAGAGCTCAGCGGTTGGAGAGAACCTGCAGGACCACGTGGGCCTGGGTGGCCTGACGTTCATGGTGAACCAGGAGGTGTCGATGGTGGAGAGTAGGCTGCACAGTGTCTCCGCTGTTATGAGATACGCTGTCTTCGGCGACGGTCCCCTCACGGTCCTCGGCGGAGTGGAGGGTCTCGGATTCGTCAACACCAAGTACGTGAATGCGTCCGACGACTTTCCCGACATCGAACTCCACTTCATCTCGGGTTCCACCAATTCCGACGGGGGCAGGCAGATAAGGAAGGTCCACGGCTTGACCCAGAGCTTCTACAACGCAGTCTTCGGTAAGATCAGTAATAAAGACGCCTGGAGTGTGATACCGATGCTGCTGCGACCCAAGAGCAGGGGCTTGATAAGACTCAGGAGCAAGAGCCCCTTCGATCACCCCCTGATCTATCCGAATTATTTCAAAGAGCGCGAGGACATGGACACCCTCATCGAGGGAGTGAAGATTGGGGTGGCCCTGAGCAGAACAGCTGCTTTCAGGAAGTACGGGAGTGAGTTGAACCCCCAACCGTACCCCGGATGCGAGAGGATCCCTCTGTACACAGATTTGTACTGGGAGTGCATGATCAGGCATTATTCAGCCACCATCTACCACCCAGTGGGCACCTGCAAAATGGGACCCTCTTGGGATCCCGATGCCGTTGTTGACCCACAGCTCAGGGTCTACGGGATCACGGGACTCCGGGTCATCGACGCCTCGATCATGCCCACTCTCGTGAGCGGAAACACCAATGCCCCCGCTATTATGATCGGGGAGAAGGGCTCCGACATGATTAAGGAGTTCTGGATGAATCGAAGGCGGAGGAACTTTGGGAATAAGTGATCCGAGATTTCAGTAGGGAAGTGGTCAACGGTTTAAGTCAATTTAGCCTTTAGGTGAGTTTTCCAGAAATATTTACGAATTTAAGGGGGATAGCGAAATTTTTATAATAACCTTTTTTGTGGAGCGGTTTGAGTGCTACTAAAAAGGTCATGAGAAAAATTTTGCTATCTGCGTTTTATTTGGAGATATTCATTGAAAACTGGCCTATAGCCAAAATCGAGTTGAGTCGTTTGATCATTTTGCTAGTGATTTGGTTCTTTTGGCTTTGAGCAAGACTGAACACTCTTTGAGGAGTTTTGTGATGACGTTGATCATTGTATTTTTTTCTGTAATTATGCTGTACATTTTTCATGACTTTTCACGTTCTCTACCGTTTTTGTAACATGTGGAGTGATGTAAATACGAAGGAAAGGTGCGAGGTGCGAGGGGCGGAGGAATAAATGTGATTATGTGCATTTAATAAAAATATTTTTGATAATTGAAAGAGGTGAATTCGGTTGTTTAAAGTAGCTCTACCCTCACGGTAAATTAAAAGGTTATTGAAAACTGCAAAAAAAATGCAGAAAACTCGATTAGATTCGGAATTCTAATTTTTTTCTCAATTTAATTATCGTCTTGGTTTTTCAAAGAAGAAATGTTTAAAAATCAGGATTTGAGTCGAGCAAATTCTATAGAAAATGTATGAAAAGAATAAGTTATATAGAAAAATCGAATTCTGTTGACTTTTTCTACTGAATGTTTTCTACTGAACATGTCAATAGAATCAGCCAAAAACTAATAGAAAGTTTAATAGAAATTCAATAGAATTTTCTAACGAATTCGATAGGTTTTTCTATTAAATTTTTTCGTCCGTGTATCAGAATTTTACGTTCATTTTCTCCAAATCTTACGTAATGTATATAAATAGCTACATAATCCCTCTCAAGATGAACTTCATTATCTTCATCACTACTGTAATTACTCATGTTATCGGCCTCGGCAGTTTGACTTTGAAATAAATAAGTAAATAAAAAAAGCAGATACTTATTTTCCTACAGAATTCATATCGTTACAATTTTTTCCATAACGAGAAAAAAAATTAAAAAATAACTCAAAAAAATAAGCCACGTAGAAAAATAAAAAGCTCATTTCTTTTCCTGAAATTCACAGTAAAAAAACCGATTTCACCTACTCTCCACATTCATCAGCTAAAAAAATCTGGAATCAACGAAATGAACAACTGACTCTGAATGACAACACGCGATTCACAAATGTATAATACAAAACATGTTGCAAGACCAAAAATAATGCTGACGAGTGCACAGTGCCACATTTGCACGCGCGCACGTAGAGAAATGTTCAGTAAAAATTACGAAGCTAACAATTCGCTCAACGATTACGGAATCGACTCATAAAATTTAAGTGACGGTATTGTAATTTTTACAGGAGATTCAGACAAAAATAACGGAATGCTCAGTAAAGATTCCGTGACAGTTCCGTAAAATTTCGCAACCACATTTCGCTCCGGAATTACGGAAAAGATACGTAATTTTTATTGAATGTTTCTCTTTGTGCGCGATGCCCGGAGAATCAGTCTGACAGTCGAATTCACGATGATTCCACGTTGGGATCGAGTGAAGAAGAAATAGATTTTAAAAAAAGTGGAATGACCCTGATGTGTTTGTTCTCATCGGCAAGAGTGGCCTTGTCGTACCAGCAAGAGCTGGGATTTTTTCTCCTCCTCCGTTTCTTCATTCTTCTCCTCCGACGGGACATCGTGGATCGGGAAAATCGGATACGCGTTGTGCCCCGTCGAGAGCTCCAGAGTCGTTATGACTTCGTGATAATCGGGGGTGGTTCGGCCGGTTGTGTCCTGGCAAATCGGCTCTCTGAGAACGCTAATTGGACAGTTCTGCTGCTCGAAGCTGGTGGTGATGAGACAATACTCACTGATGTTCCACTTTTTTTTCCTACACTGCAGCACACTGCCCTCGATTGGCAGTTTAAGACAGAGTCATCTCAGAATTACTGCAGGGGAATGAATCAGGGTCAGTGCAATTGGCCGAGGGGAAAGGTCCTCGGTGGAAGCAGTGTTCTGAATGCCATGCTCTACGTCAGGGGAAACAGGAGGGATTACGATGAGTGGAGAGACGCTGGCAATTATGGCTGGGATTATGAGAGTGTTCTCCCGTATTTCAAGAAGTCGGAGAATATTTCTGTTGAGGGCCTCGAGGAGTCGGAGTATCATGGACGCGATGGACCTCTCACAGTTGAACGGTTCAGGTGATTACGACTGGGGATCACGCGGAGAGAAACATGAAAATTATTTCGAAATTCGAGTTTTCGAGAAGCGTATGGGGATTTGAAGATTTCTTAAACCATTATTCCAGTGAAATATGCAATAATTCTGGTGACAATTGGAGTATTTCGAAGTCAGGGGGAAATTTATACAAGAAACGATGCGAAAATGGTAGTAATTGAGCTTTCAGGAATGTTCATCAAACGTTGAGGAAAAAAAATCAGATGGCTTCAGTAAAAATTCCAATGTTTTAGGAAATTTCAACTTTAAATAGTGAACTTTTTCACCAGTTTTGTTAAGATTTTCCTTGAGCAATTCTAATCAACTTATATTGGAACTCTATCAGAATTCCCTTGAAGTTCTATTAGAATTCTATTAAAAAATTCTACTTGTTTTTTGTTGAGAAATATTTGATAGCAAATAAATCTACAGATTTTTATTTTTCTATAGAAATTCTTGGGCGCTTTTTTTCACGTTTTCTTCGCTACATCTTTATTCGTTTCTCGTAATAAAATCCAAGAAAAACGGGGAAAATTCAGGCGCAAGAAAACTGCGTAATTTTCAACAGGATTTCTTGGAGAAAACGCTAGGTTTTTCTATTAAATTTTCTCACAAGTGTGTTTAAAGGTAAGTTCTAACAAAAATTCCTCTCCGTGTGGAAATTTCACATAAGTATTGTAATTTTTACCAGAATAATTGTATTATTTACTAGATTTCTGTCGAAAATTCTCCAGATTTTCCTTAAATCAAAATTTATTTCAATAGCGAAGTGGTAAAAAATGATAAGTCCATTTTTTTCGAAATTCGTAATATTATAATTCCCATTTAAAGATTAATGTTTCATTGTGATTCACGCAAAAACATTTTTTTTAATGTACTTATCTCCTTTTACCCCTTCGCTACTGATTTATATCAGACGAATTTGTTTGAGATATCAAATGTAAAAAACTATTTAAAAAATAATTCAGTAGCAGAGTGGTAAAACGGCACAAGTCAATTTTAACTATTGACCAGGTTTCAATGAATATCTGGGAATCTAACGGAGATAGCAAAATCATTGTTATGACCTTTTTTGTAGAGCCGATTAAGGGCCACACCAAAAGCAATTACAAAAATTTCGCTATCTCCCTTAAATTCCGAAATATTCCTCAAAAACTCAACTGGGAGAAGAGTCGACTTGAACCGTTTTACAATTTCGCTACTGAATTAATAACTTAATCAATTTGAATGATTAATTCGCGTAGAAATTTCTTGGCACAACGGAATTGTACTGCAAACGCCTCCCCAGAGATCTCAGCTGCACCTCAATTTCATTAGCGCCTCTTTTCAGATATCATTCCCCAGTGTCTCAGTATTTTCTTCAAGCAGGGAGGGAAATGGGTTACGACACTCTGGACATCAACGGTCCCCAGCAGTCAGGCTTCTCCCAGTCTTATGGAACCCTTCGAGAGGGCCTTCGGTGCAGCACAGCGAAGGCTTTTCTGCGACCAGTGTCTCGCAGAAAGAATCTCCACATTCTGACACACGCAATGGTCGAGGAGATCCTCATCGAGGAGACGTCCAAGACTGCGCGCGGAGTGACGTTCCGGAGAAGACGAGGGAGAAAGTGCACTGTCCACGCGAATCGAGAGGTGATCCTGTCCGCAGGGGCCATCCAGTCGCCCCAGCTCCTCATGCTGTCGGGCGTTGGACCCCGAGAGCATCTCGAGGATGTTGGGGTCAGGGTCATTGAGGATTCACCGGGGGTGGGGAGGAATCTTCAGGATCATATTGCCATCGGTGGAATGACGTACCTCATTGACCCACCCACTGGGGACAATAGCCCTTACGGGTTCTCCTGTGTTCTGCCGAAACTACTGACTTATTATTCCATTAAGGAATTCATTGTCAATAAGACTGGACCTCTGCACACTGTGCCTGCGTGCGAAGTCATGGCGTTCATCAAAACCAAGTGAGTTTTCCATTTTGAAAGAATTTTGCTAGATGTGTTGTGGAGAGCAAGAGAGCTACACTGCTACAAATTCAGTAGCGAAGTGGTCAAACGGTTCAAGTCGACTTAGCTCTTAGCTGAGTTGTCGAGGAAAATTTCCAAATCTAAGGGAGATAGAGAAATTTTCGTATCTATCTTTTTTGAAGCTCTCAATGTGCTCTACCGAAAAGGTCTTAACAGAAATTTTGCTGTCTGCCTTAGATTTCGAGATATTCATTGAAAACTCACGAATAGGCTAAATCGACTCAATTTCCGGTATTGGAGAGGGTGCGGTTAAATGGACACTTGATTTCTTTTCTTCCAATGTTTATAACTCTGATGTTTCATTCGGCAATTTAAATCTGCCATCAAAGTGAATACATTGTACTTTTCACAAAAAAAATAATTTCAAGGAAAATTTAAGGAAATTTTGAGGAATTTCGGCACTGAAAATTCACAGTTTGAGAAAAAAAAATAATGAAAATGGTAAATTTCAATTCTAGTATTGTATGAAAATGAATGGAAATCTGGGAAATTCCGGGAGATGTATGAAATGGTCAATAGGAAATATTCTGTAGAAAAAGTCAATAGAATTAGATTTTTTTATACAACTTATTCTATTAAGACATTTTCTATAGAATTTCTTCGGCTCAAATTTTCCAAGTTTTTTTGTTTGATTTTCTTGATGGAAAGAAATGAAAAATGGAATGAAAAAAACCTGGAAAATTTGAGCTGAGGAAATTCTATAGAAACTATTTAAATATCATCAGTTGTATAAAAAAATTGAATTTCATTGACATTTTCAATACATTATCTACTGAATATTCCAACAGAATCGGCCGAAAACTAATAGAAATTTCAATAGAACTCCACTAGATTTCGTGCGTGAAGGATTTACCGAATTTCGTTAAAATTGTTTTATGAATTCTCATAAGTCCCAATGATGAAGAAAAAATTAAAAGTTGTCTGAAAAACCTCAAGAATGGCCCTAAATTTGGTGTAAAAAGAAATAAAATAAATACCATAAAATAATAACAGTAAATCAATAAAACGTATGAATTAAAGTAAATGTGCCAATTGAATTCTAGATTCGCGAATGCCTCCGAGGACTACCCAGACATCCAGCTATTCCTGGCGTCAGCAGCGGACAACTCAGACGGTGGACTCCACGGTATGCGGGACTGTGGTCTCCAATCGGAAATTTATTCCGAAGTATATGAACCCCTTCTCTGGCGAGAAGCGTACAACGCAGTGCCCCTCCTCCTGCGCCCCCGAAGCCGAGGTTACATAAAACTGAGGAGCCCAAATCCCCGCGAAAAGCCCATAATCGTTCCCAACTACCTCGACGACCCGCGCGACCTAGACGTCATAGTAGAAGGTGCCAAGTTCGTCCATGCCATGAGTCAGACCAAGGCCATGAGGCGTATAAACGCCAATATAAATCCAAATGTCATACCGGAATGTGCGAAATTTGAATTCCTGTCCGATGATTTCTGGAGATGTCAAGCGAGGTCTTACACAATGACGATTTATCATCCTGTTGGTACGTGCAAAATGGGACCTGTTGGGGATCCAATGGCGGTTGTTGATGCGCGGTTGAGGGTTCACGGTATCAGTGGACTGAGAGTTGTCGACGCATCCATAATGCCGAATATTGTTAATGGAAATACAAATGCTCCGACGATTATGATCGCTGAGAAAGCTGCGGATATGATCAAGGAAGATTGGCAGGAGTTGGATGGCAAATGTGGCAAATACTTTGTACATTGGTAGACAAAAATTTAAAGTTCGTGGACAGCTGACTAGACATTTTTAGGAGAGTAATATTGAACTCCATTTGGGGAAAAAAATTAAATTTCGGGTTTCACGGAAAATTCAATAAAATTTCAAATTTCTCAAGAGCAGGAGGACGAGAATTCTCAAACTCAGTTGAATTTTTCAATAAAAACATGAATGTTTTAAGAATAGTACCAAATTTTGAATTAACATTAGTATGAGAAATACATCCACTGCAATTTCAAGGCATTTTGACATTGAAAATTCATAATTTCATGGAAAAATAGTGAAAGATCAGGAAAACTGAGAAATCTCTCCCTGAATTCCAGATTCTTCTGAATTTTTAGGGAATTACTTGAAAAATTCCTGGAATTCCAAGAACGTTAAAAGAATGCCCTGAAAATTCAAGGGAACTGGCTGTGAATATTTTTTTTCATTTGAAAATTCATGTAAATTGTGGAATTTCTGTCTTTTTGTCGCTAAAAAATCGGAACTTTACTTGAATTTTCAGAGAACCTTGAAATTCCATTGACTTTTTCCCCTTAAATCGAATTCAAGGTCTTTCACCACAAAATTCAGTCAATTTTTTTTAACAGTGTGGGTGGCAAATATGGCAAATACTTCGTACACTGTTAGAAAAAAATTAAAATTTCGAATTTCAAGGAAAATTCAATGAAGTTTCAAATTTTTTAGTTGAATTTTAAATGAAACCCTGAATATTCAGTACGAAATTACGCTAAAATCTCCAATTTCCATAGATTTCACCATAAAATTTTGAATTTTTCATGCCAAAATTCCTTGGAACTTCCGTGAAACTATCACAGTATAGAAATAAAATATCCAAGAAGTGTACTGCAAATTTCATCCAAAAATCTTCGCCAGTTTTCAATGAATATCTCGGAATCTAAGGGAGATAGCAAAATTGTCCTTATAACCTTTTTTGTAGAGCCGATTGAGATCTACAACAAATGTGATTACGCAAATTTCGCTACTTCTGTTAGATTCGGGAATATTCCTCAAAAACTCAACTGAGAGATGAATCGACTTGAACCTTTTACCCCTTCGCTACTGAATTATACATAATTATCAATTGAAATGTCTGCCTGTGCGACAATTTCTGGAGGTTTGAACTAAGACCTTACCCAATGACAATTCATCGTCTAGTTGATCCCTGCAAAATGGCACCTGCTGAGGGCCCAATGATCACAATCCCTGAAAAAGCCGCAGACAGAAAGAGTCGAATACCAAACACTTGACTCGCGCGTATTTCTCAACAAAACTACAACCTGACCCAGGAAAATCCCTCGCTTGCGCACCTAACGAAGAAGATGTTGCGCTGACACATCAATCCGGTTTACCCCTCCATAATTATTCATTAAAACTTGATGGAACTGATGACTCTCACATCGAGGATAATTCAAGTACAAAGACTAAGGAAAAAGCTGTTCAAACAAGCGCACAAAATCATATTTGCCAAACAGGTTGACGGCTAAATCATTCTTCAACAATTTCTGTATTTTTCTAAATAAAATGAATTCCAAACAACCCAGAAATTCCTTATTTGCGGAGTTGTCGAATATAAGAAGCTACATTTTTCGTCGAGAATGTACTCTGGACATCGCTGGAAGTCGGTAATACAAAATAGCCACCACCAAAATTCCCCGGTCAAAATTCCCATTGTTATTATTCCTTTCTTATAATCCTCCCGTCTATAATTCCCATACAACTGATATTATTGATTGCAACATTTAATTCATTTAATTTACAATATACAAATTACCAAATATTAATTCTCGAACTAATTCCCACATTTTACATTTTCAATTGGTCAGTATTTACAATACAACATTATAGGCAATACGGCGTAGGTACTCTAGAATGTCAACATTTCCATACTCTTTTACTACTTTTTTTAGTCTTTTATAATACTGAGCATATCGTTATCGTGATAGTTGGTGTAGTCATTGTGATATGTTGTAGTCGAAGTGTTGTCGATAACTGACCAATTATAAACGACCGGGGCTCATATTTCTGAGTGTCTTCATCGTTCGCTATTCCTCGTAATTGGGTATTAAATGTCTCCTTCATCATAAAATTCAGGTATTTATTTGTGCTGTAACTATCTATTTCACGTAGATTGTGGTGGGATCATTGACTGGGGGTTCCGTCACGAGGGTTTTCGTCGTGTGGCGTTTCTGTCGCAAGGAATTTTTGTTAGTGAGAATTTCGGTGGTGGGTTTTTTGGGGTCGGAATTTTGATGGTTGGTATTGTGGGGTGGGAATTTTGGTATGTAACCTGGAAGTACCTCTGCATGGGTTTGGAAGGTCTCAGTTGCCGCACTACAAAATAACTTTAAATTTCAAATTCCAAGTGGAATCCCATATCTATTAGTTTTCCTTCCAAGAACAAATTGTTTCCCCTTCATCACCGGAAACTACATTAGAATTGTTATCTCGCACATTATTGCCAGATACATTATATCCGATAGTTTCCTCATTGAGACGGTATATAGGAGTGATCAGTGATCACCGGGAGCAGTCCTGGAGGTGAATACGTGTGGAAATAGCCGGATAAAAAATTATCGAGGTAATTATAATCACCAAAGCGAGTCCCTATTGTTTGCAATTGTATGGACGATGTGACGTCAAAGCATGGCCAAATTCCGGGACACAAATGGTGAAAATGAAAATAAATATCAGTCAATTGTCACTGGGGCCGTGGTTATCGTGCAGTGATGAGTGGGGAAAGTTAATGATACGTATGTGAGATAAATTTTTGACTGGAAGATACGAGTGTTTCCAGCATCCGCTGAGGCGTATTTTTTTTTCTGTTTGCCAGTAACGAAAGAGCTCTGGGGGCAACCCTCGAGCACACACACTGTCTCCGTCATAATGTGGCGCAATTGAATGGGATTTCACTGGTCAGGAGGTGGCAATCGACGTTCCATTGCTTCTTATATCCGGAATATCTTCTTGTCCACAGGTATTAATTCAGAATGGTACGGTGGATTACTCCGATACTTCTGGTGTTCTGCGGGGCTACGGCACTTCCACCGCCTTGGGTAATAGTTTCTCTTCCTTCTTGTTTCTTTCGACGCGTTTTCTGCTTTTTGGTTGATGCGGATTTTTTTGATTCTTTTTTTTTCTCAATTTATTCAAACTGGAGGAGGATAGATTTTTTTGAATAATGCGGGCGAGTTATCATATGTGCCAAGGTGAACTTAATCTCAGACGATGACAGGGGTTTGATATTTAAGAGTTGTGGGGACACATTTTTGACAACACTTCGGTTGGAAAGTCGTGGGGACATGGATTTTGCTGGCTTTAGCCACTCGGTAATCGCGGTTTTCTGCACATGGCTTCGTGGAAATTAATGACACTCCGTAAAGTAGTTCTACCCTTCGGCCGGGGTGCGCTGTACTTTTGGATATTTTCAGTTTTTAAATTTTTCAACTAAATTACATGGAAACAATTTGAAAAAAATCATACCCAGTCAGTATTATCTAAATTAAATTTCGCAATATATTGATATTTTTTCAATCATTTCCCTCTTATAAATAAATAATACAACTTGTTTGTAAAACGGTGGATTATTTTTTATGAGGTGTCAAAAAAATGCTTGATTTTTTCACATCTAATGAAAAAAAGTTCAGATTTTAATCTTTGATTACAATGGAAATGGTGATTTTCACATAAGACACTGGGTTAAATGCTGATTTTTAAACATTTCTTCTTTGAAAAACCAAAACGATAATTAAATTGAGAAAAAAAAATTAGAATTCCAAATCTAATCGAGTTTTCTGCAATTTTTTTGCAGTTTTCAATAATCTTTGAATTTACCGTAAGGGTAGAGCTACTTTAAGGGCTAATTTTCGAAATTTTTCAACAAATCTCCTGCCGAAAGTTATCGATATTTTTACTGATCGAAGCACATTAATCTCCAGGAGGTGATGATGAGGATGAAAATATTGATAACTTTGAGCGGGAAATTTGTTTGAAAATTTCGAGGAAACAGTGGCTTTCCGTTATCCCGTAACTGTTGACGAATGGGGTTAATAGTTAAGAAGCCTTGTTAACAGCGACTTGAGCAACTTGATGGATTGTGTGGGGAGTAGTAGTCAACTGAGGTCTGGTTTGCAGGTGCCGGAGATGAACAGCACTCACGCCTGTGATAAGTATTATAGCACTGGAGAATGCCGGTTTGAGGACACACCGTTCATGCAGGACGCGTGCTCAAGTCTGTCGGGGTTTATGATGTTGCTGCAGACTACTATGATGGCGAGGTGTGACATTGCCGATCCTTGCAGGAGATTTGAAACCCATGAGATTGAGGAGTATGAGACGTGAGTATTAGAATCATTGGGTCATTACGGACGAAATCCTGTCGTCATGTGATTTCGAGTGANAAAAAATCATACCCAGTCAGTATTATCTAAATTAAATTTCGCAATATATTGATATTTTTTCAATCATTTCCCTCTTATAAATAAATAATACAACTTGTTTGTAAAACGGTGGATTATTTTTTATGAGGTGTCAAAAAAATGCTTGATTTTTTCACATCTAATGAAAAAAAGTTCAGATTTTAATCTTTGATTACAATGGAAATGGTGATTTTCACATAAGACACTGGGTTAAATGCTGATCTTTAAACATTTCTTCTTTGAAAAACCAAAACGATAATTAAATTGATAAAAAAAAATTAGAATTCCAAATCTAATCGAGTTTTCTGCAATTTTTTTGCAGTTTTCAATAATCTTTGAATTTACCGTAAGGGTAGAGCTACTTTAAGGGCTAATTTTCGAAATTTTTCAACAAATCTCCTGCCGAAAGTTATCGATATTTTTACTGATCGAAGCACATTAATCTCCAGGAGGTGATGATGAGGATGAAAATATTGATAACTTTGAGCGGGAAATTTGTTTGAAAATTTCGAGGAAACAGTGGCTTTCCGTTATCCCGTAACTGTTGACGAATGGGGTTAATAGTTAAGAAGCCTTGTTAACAGCGACTTGAGCAACTTGATGGATTGTGTGGGGAGTAGTAGTCAACTGAGGTCTGGTTTGCAGGTGCCGGAGATGAACAGCACTCACGCCTGTGATAAGTATTATAGCACTGGAGAATGCCGGTTTGAGGACACACCGTTCATGCAGGACGCGTGCTCAAGTCTGTCGGGGTTTATGATGTTGCTGCAGACTACTATGATGGCGAGGTGTGACATTGCCGATCCTTGCAGGAGATTTGAAACCCATGAGATTGAGGAGTATGAGACGTGAGTATTAGAATCATTGGGTCATTACGGACGAAATCCTGTCGTCATGTGATTTCGAGTGACTTGAGGCCTTGTAGTCTCAAGATTTTGGTAATTGAAAGAACTCTTCAAGAATTGAAAGAAAAATTGAAATATTCAAATAAGGCTTTATCAACCATTATTAACACATTCCTCAATTTAATTCCTCAATTGAGTGGTAGAGCATTTGCCCGGATAGCGAAAGGTCGTGAGCTTTCCCAAGCATTTCAATTTTTTTCATTTCATTTCACGTACATAATCATTTACTAAAGTTCTGAAACAATCTGAACTTGCATCCTATGTATTTTACTTCAGAACTTTAGTGAACGATTGGACATACGTCTTTCCAATCTTTAAAAAAGAATACAATTCTAAGAGAACTTGAAGAGAATTCTTATAGAGTCCCTCTAGAAAAAAATCGCAGCGGCTATATCTTCGATACAGCTGTAATATCTAGACTGACTTTACCACTGCACCAGATATTTACACTCTTTACTCTATACGATGTTAACTCTCTGATTGCCAATTTACGACTGACGGCGTGCCGATCCGCCTTTTACAGGGAATTTTGAATCTAGAAATTTTTGAACTGGAAATTTCTATGACTAACAACCTGTTGGTATCTCACCGATTGATCGACGGTTGGTAATGTATTGACAGTCAGCATCGCCGATAGATTGCGCGGCTGCATAAGCATTTTTTTACCGAATGACCCCCCCAAAACGAAACCATAGACGTATCCACGTCAAAAGGGTAGGAGATGAGAAATGGGCCAAAGGTGGCCGAAGACTGGCTATTACCGGGCTATCCTCGGCCTTTTCTCCTCTCCCACCCGGGCCCCCTTCAATTCCAAAAACCGCACAACCAGAATGAACCCCTCTCACCTCCCCATTTCTCTTCTAGCTTCGATTTCATAATCGTCGGTGCTGGAGTAGCAGGTCCAGTAATAGCCAGAAGACTGGCGGACCACGTGCCCTTCTGGAAAGTCCTTCTAATCGAGGCAGGCCCCCCAGAGCCCTCAATGACAGCCTTTCCAGGCTTCGCCTTCAACGCCATCAACACCTCCCTCGACTGGAGCTACAAGACCGAGCCGACGCAGCCGCACCCCACAGCCTGCCTAGAAACCAACGGGATCTGCACCTGGCCGAGGGGTAAAATGGTGTCCGGTTCAGGCGGAATGTACGGTATGATGTACGTCAGAGGCCACCCGGAGGTCTTCAACAGGTGGGCAAGAGCGGGCAACGATGGCTGGTCGTACGACGAGATTGAGCACTACTTCGAGCGCGCTGAGGACGTTGAAGTCCCCGGGATGACATCGGGCTCTGACAGACCACCGACGGGAGAGAGGGGCCCCTTAAAGATCAAGTATTACGATCACAGACCTGCCTTCACCGAGGAGGTCCTCAAGGCAGCTGCCGAGTTGGGTTACAAGACGTCTAGACTAGCTGGTGAAGACAGCACAGGCTTCATGATTGCTCCCATGATTATTGAGGACGGTATACGCGGGACAACGTCTAGGCTCTACCTCAGACCGATCGCACATCGACCCAATCTGAAGATCCTAACTCATGCTTATGTCACGAGGATCGTGAGACACAACTGGGAAGGCGCAGCGCGAGGGGTTGAGCTCATTGACAGGAATGGTGTTAGGAAAGTCATTCGCGCTGACAAAGAGATCATCCTCACGGCTGGTGCCATTGGATCCCCCCAGATTCTGCTGAACTCCGGCATCGGACCCAAAGAGGATCTTGATGAACTGGGAATCCCCGTTTGGCAGGATCTACCTGTCGGTCGCAATCTCCACAATCACGTGTCATTTGGCATCAAGATGACCATCAATGACACTCATTACGAAGACATAACTGTGGAAGCTGTGGAGAAGTTTTTGCACAATCGCACTGGACCTCTGAGTAGTACAGGATTGACCCAGGTCACAGCATTTTTGGAGAGCTCTTACACAACTCCAGGAGTACCTGACATTCAAGTGTTCTTTGATGGCTTCAGCTCGAAATGCCCCATGCACGGTGTCAAGGGCGAATGCCCTGGGGGGACTTTTGGATCGTGCCCGACTAGGAGGGAATTAGTTGCCAGACCTACTACGGCTATTGTTAAGACACGAGGCGTGCTCAAGTTGAGGTCTAAGAATCCGCTGGATAGGCCACTGCTGTATCCTAATTATCTCACTGATGAACAGGATCTCATGGTGCTTATGGAGGGCATTAGGAAGGTCGAGGAATTAATCGACACGCCCACGATGAAGAAGTGGGACTTGAGGTTCGAGGAGACCAACGCTGGGGCCTGTTCTAGGTATATTTGAATTTATCATAGACAGACTGAAATACACAGACTCAAAAATTTTATTGATACATCTAGGGGCCGGGCAAAATGGGACGTGTTGAGATCTTTTCCAATTGCCAATGTCTTCACTTGTAAGTGAAGATATTGACAACTGGAGAAGATTACGAAACGTCTCATTTTGTCCGACTCTCCCCTATAATAGAATGAATAAAGAATTCTGGAATTCGTAAATTGAGAATATCGAATTCCTCAATTTAAGAAGAAATTTTTGATCAGTGAAAATGTCAATCATAACAGTTGCAGAAAGGAGATTATTGCACATGTTAATTATGAAAATGTTCAATTTTCAGATATCACTTTGGGACAGACGCCTACTGGGAATGCATGATCAGAACCCAAACGGGCCCAGAGAATCATCAAGCAGGAACTTGCAAAATGGGCCCAGCAATTGACCCAACAGCTGTGGTAGACCCAGAACTTCGAGTTCATGGAATCCCAAATATCAGAGTAGCGGACGCCTCGATCTACCCAGAAGTACCAAACGCCAATCCCACGGCTTCAATCGTCATGATCGCTGAAAAAGCAGCCGATATGATCGGAAACACGTGGTTCGGCATTTAGGAAAATTTTGTTATGTATAGGAATTTCAAATGTGAATAAAGACTTGTTAAATTTATCTCATTGTATGCTGAAGAGAAGAATATTTGTTAAGAATAATCTCTCATGACTTGCGTGAATAGCACATCGTCAGTATAAATAAACTGCATTGTTATGATAAAGTCGATCACTTTTTTACTGGAGATGATGCATATGAGATATAATCGGCATAAATAAGTCGTTGTGTAAACCCATACCGCAGGTGATCCGTAGCTGCCAGAGAAGAAATGAAAAATGGATATCAACTACTATATTCAGCCACAGAATCCAAGATAATCGGCAAGGCCATGGATTTTGACCTCTGGAGGAAGTTGAAATATGAGAAAATGTTCGAAAACGATACTGTATTTGAGCTTGAGTTCGGTATCGATATCCTTTGGAGTGGTACACCCCCGGTTTTCAACCATGACCGCGAAGTTCGCGCAAAAGATATACTTCTGGATTATTGTATTTTCGAAACGAGTTAGTTCAGGAAAAAAAAATGACCCACCATCTTTTTTGTAGGTCATAAAATTTTCTGTAAAAAAAGTTGACTGATATTTTACTATATCCTCTAGTTGCTGGGTTGCACGAAGAGAAATCTATTGAAAATTAAATTATATGTGATGTACAATTTTCACGATGAGTTTGGAAATTCAAGCGTTCATTGAAAAATCAATAATTGTTCAACATGAAAAACCCAATTTTCTTGAATTCTCAAGATGAATGAGAAATTGAGTGAACGCTTTCATATGAAATTGAATAATTAAATCTCACGTAAAATCATCAATCTCATGTAAAATTCATCAACTTCTTCCATTTTACCAATTAATTATCGATTGGGCGTGAAGTAGCGAAAAGGAGACGGTATCCTATTCTAAAAAGAACATACACTTAAATTCGATAAATTTGATATCTCGCAAGTCTGTCACGCTTATTCTTCATTGGTTCCAGTCGTCTGAGACGGCAAATTTAATTCATGATTAATTTAATTTTGAGATTTTCAATTATGATTGTTACAATTACAGCGCGCTATAGCGCGCGTTCAGTCAAGTCTGAAGCTCAACAAAATCCAGTACCACCAGAATTAGGTAGACGACAGCACAAAGTATTTCAGGAGATTAGGGAAAAAATCGCCAAACGCACCTCATTTTTCGTTCAATTCTTATTAATAATCAGTGATAACCGCCCAATCTATTCAAGCGATATATTATACTTCAAGTTTTTGCAAAAAATAATGTTCACCATCCACAAATGAATATTCAAGGACATGTACGTATGAAAAAATCGTATAGAAATTTTCTATACGGATATTTTTTATACAAATTATTTCTATACGATTTCTATAGGTTTGATCCTATACGACCCACTGCCACATGTATAGAAACATTTCGTATGGAGTTGCGACATTTCTCTACGTTTCTCTAGCGCGTCTAGACATCTTTCGTATGAAAACAAAAATTTATGTACAGAAATAATTCGTATAAAAAATATGCGAATATCATACGCGGAAATTCTGTAGAATTTCCATACGCAATTTGTATAGAAAAATTCTATACGATTTTTTCATACGTGTGGAGTATCGAGAAATCGCTTTAACTCTGTCATTGGGTCAAAATTACAATCCTACCATTTCTGAATATTACTGAATTGATTTTAAAAAATTAGACACTACTACACGATTGGTCAGTCGATCGATTTCCGTGCAGTGTTCTGGGGGGATGTCTCACAGCTCTATGGGGGAGTAGTGCGTAGCTCGGAATGCACTCATTCTGAAGCTAGACATCAGAAGTCTCTTATCGATGGGCCACGGCGCTTGACAAATCGGTGAGTGTCTTACTGTCTTCAACTTGTGTTCCGAAGAGTGTTGGTGTTATTGAATAATCACCATAATTTTTATCCCTGCCGGTATTCTTAATTGAATTTAACTATTTAGGGCTGCGGCTACGAAAATTAGTGGAAATGATTTCATTGAATAATTTCATTGATGTTCCCTTCACAGTTTAGAATCTACTGCGTGATTCGAATAAATCGCAAACAATTTTTATGCGCTGGATAATAATAACCGGTTTTACTCGATTCAAGGTTTTACTCGATAAGATAAGGCAATTTGGAGGTAAAGATTCTCGGATCTATTATAGTTGAGAGTGGAGAAACTTTTCTTTTGGTTTTACGAGATTATGGTATGACTAATGACGTTCGTGCTAGGGAAATTCGCAACTTGTCTATTCGATTTCATTGCATTTCTGAAAAATCTATGAAATGAAATGAAAACATTTTCTAATTATTTTACTACAAAATAACATTTTTTTTTGTTTTACATTAAATTTTGTAAATTGTTTTGATCGTCATAAAATTGTGAAAAATGAGGAAAAAAATCTCTACACGGAGAAAAGTGAATGGTAGGGGTTACTTTTGTATGGTAGAGGTTACCATAAATTATGGTAAAAGGGTTTCTAAGTCAATCTCAATAGTAATTTTTACTATGTTCAACAGCAAAACGTACTATGTTGTATAGTAATCAATACCATTCGAACATGGTAGGCATTACTATATAATATAACAACGACAACCATTATCATAGGAGAGATTACCACGTGGATGGTAATCAGTGCTATTTGTACATGGTATCCTCTTTTTTCACGTTTTACCATATAATATAGGTCATGTTACCATAGTGCAGGGTAATCTCTCCTATAAACTATGGTAAACTTTACCAAACGGCTTTGGTCTCTTTACCATAATTAATAGTACACTCTACCCTAGTACACTCATAGGCTTCATTCCCATCGAGAGACTTACCATGGCCCATAGTATGTAATACCATACCCTGTAGGAATCATTACCATAGATAGTAATGCTTCCTAAATTTTAGAAATACATACAAGTCGTAAATTTGACACGGGACTCTTTCCCATGGCTCTTCTCTCCGTGTAGATCTTCTAAATGCTGCATAAATCATATGAAAAGAGAACCAAATTAGAAATTCAATTATTCAAGTATATCAGAATGAGTATTAAAATGAATATCAATTGAAAAATACCGCAGCTTATCTGGGCGTTTTTTTTTAAATAGAAATGTTAAACGTAAAATATTCGACGGTAGACTCTCCTGAATTCAGTCCGGGGGGTTCCTTGAGGCAATTTCATGTGAAATGTGAGTAAAGGAGAGACCCGCACTCCGCCAGTTCAAGCGGCATATCACAGAGGAGGGTAAACGATAGATGAGGAGTAGGGGGAGAATTTTGAGAAGTAGGCCTCGAGCGGAGTAGAGTGCAAATTATGAAGTGGGAGAATAAAGGAGAATAATAGAATACGATTTTTACACTTATTCTGATATTCTCAAATTTTCAATGTTTTTAAAATTTTTTTTTTCACGAAAAGAGAAGAAATATAAAGCGGGAATACTTATAAAATTCATTTCGAGGAATTTCTGTAGAAAATATCTCAATAGAAAAACTCGTAAAGAAATACGGAAATCTACCCATTTTAGCCAAAAACTAATAGGATTTTCTGTCAAATTCCTTAGATTGTTCTATGAAATTTTGTCGTGCATGAAAGCTAGTTCGATACTTATATTTCCGGCAAAGAGATGTTCTAAACACCGATGTCGGTGGCCGAGTGGACTAGACGCAAGTCTAGTGTGCGAAAGGTTGTGAGTTCGATTCCCAGTGGAACCGAATTTTTCAACGGAAAGCTTCGGCGAGCGGGAGGTTGCTAATAGAGTAACCGCCTGTACCGGCATGGGTTTCCTGTGGTTTCCCATGCTACTCCTATGTTCTATGCGGTACAGTGTTGAATCCCCAGCCGCATGCATACGGTTGGATAGAGTGCCAAAATAAGACCCAAAAAAACCGTCTAAACATTGATTTAATTAATTTTCCAGGAGCAATGGAATCGTGTTTAGCCCAGAGCTGTGCAGCATCTGTCCAAGGGAGTTCCCCCCTGATCTTCCACCAACTGATCCAGGCACTTTTGGTATCGCAGTGCAGCCTCAGCAGCCCCATCGATTACCCCCCCAACAGAAACGCTGAGATCCTAGAAAATTCCGATCCCTTCGATTTCATCATCGTGGGAGGAGGGACAGCAGGCTCTGCCGTGGCCAGCAGACTCTCCGAGAATCCAAACTGGAGAGTTCTCCTAATCGAAGCTGGAGCATATCCCTCAGCCCTCAGTGACGTTCCAGCAATGCTACTGTTCCTCCAAGGGACCCCAGAGGACTACGCTTACGAGGTAGAATACCAAGAGGGCATGTGTCAAGGAACATCCACCAAAAAATGTAAATGGGGTAAAGGAAGAGTCCTAGGAGGAAGTTCAGTGCTGAATGCTATGCTCCACATTCACGGCAACGACCGGGACTTCGACTCCTGGGCGGCCCTGGGAAATGACGGTTGGAGTTTCAAAGATGTGCTTCCATACTTCAAAAAATCAGAGAGCTACTCCCCAGAGTTCATCGGCAAATTCGGTGACAAGTACGTCGGAAGCAGCGGACAAATCAATATTCGTGATTACAATTACACAGACTCTGGACTTCAAAGCGTTCTTCTAGACGCAGTTCGAGAAAGAGGGATTCCAGTGCTGGATCACTTCAACGGTGAAAGGTACATTGGGTTTGGAAGGGCCCAGGGTACCCTCGACAAGGGTCGCCGTGTCAATGCAGCCAAGGCTTATCTGTCACCGGTGAAAGATCGGAAAAATTTGTTCGTGGCGACGTCCACTCGAGCGGATCGAATACTGATGGAGGGTAATAAGGCTGTTGGCGTTCGTTTAACTTTTCCGGATGATAAATCTGTAGATCTCAAAGCGTCTAAGGAAGTTATTATCTCAGCCGGGGCCATAGCAACTCCGCAGGTACTGATGCTGTCCGGAATTGGGCCGAAGAAACATTTGGATGAACTGGGAATCCCCTGTGTCGCTGATCTCCCAGTGGGGAAGAATCTGCAGGACCATTTGATATGGATGGGCCTTCACTTCGAGTTCTTCAACGAATCGGGTGTTATCAAAACACCTCTGGACTACCTAGACAACGCCTATTTGTATTTGATCCATACTAAAGGGGAATTCATAGCCACCGGGGGCATTGATTTACTAGGATTCGTCAACTTGGAAGACCCGATCTCACACTACCCGAATATCCAGTTCCATCATATTCACATATCCAAGGGGGACGTCATGATGCTCCAAGCAGTGATGAACTCCATAGGATTGTCCGAGGAGCTGCAGGCAGAACTTATGAAATTAACAATCGCTGGTGATAGTCTTATGATGTGCCCTACGCTGCTGAATCCAAGGAGTCGAGGGGAAATTAAACTACGGAGTACTTCGCCGAGTGATACAGTGAAAATTTGGGCTAATTATTTGGACAGCGAAGAGGACAAGGTGGAATTGCTGAAGTCAGTCGAGTTTCTGAAGAGCTTGGAAGTTACTGACGTCATGAAAAAGCACGGCATCAAGTTGAGACATTTCAAGATACCGGGGTGCAAGGAGTTCACAGCTGGTTCTATGGAGTATTGGGAGTGCAACCTGAGGCATACAGCTGCCACTGTCTATCACCCAGTGGGAACAGCGAGGATGGGGCCAGCAGGTGATGCTGCTGCTGTGGTGGATCCTAAACTTAGAGTTCATGGGGTTAAGGGGCTGAGGGTTATCGATGCATCGATAATGCCAACTGTAACCAGTGGCAACACAAATTCCCCAACTTTGATGATTGCTGAGAAAGGCGCGGATATGGTGAAAAAGGAATGGTCCAGCAGGGATGAATTATGAGAAAATGCGATGAAGAAGTTATTCCGGTTTTTTTGTTCCGTGGTTTCCATGTTTTCCGTCATTGTAATCGATACTAAGTTCTTTATGTACTGAGAAATAGGTCATAACAACTACGCTGGCATATGCCTATCGTATCTTAATGCAGTAGAATATTTCACACTTTAGGTAATAAAAATTTTAGTAAAAACCATTGGGTATTTGATTTTTGTGCTCTCTTGATGTATATCGTATGCATTGGTTCTACAAATAATTGCAATGTTATCTCTTTCTAAATTATTGGTTTACATCGAAGAAACGCGGACCGCTAGAAGTAGTTGGTGGTAAGCGACTGGAAGTCGGGCAAAAAAGCATGGCAAAAAAGTGAGATCAATGAGTACGTAAGAAATAAATGAAGCGTGACTACCACTGAACTTCGGGTACTTGCGAACCGGCGAAATGACACAGTGATTTCCCATGAGTGATAATTTTTTTGTTATTGAAGAATTGTTCACCTTCAATTCCGGCTCGTACGTCTGAAGGGAATAAATTGCTGATGAATAATTGATCAATTACAATTCCATGTCATGTGCAGTGAGAGAAATATCATCATAATATTGCCAAACTAATTTCTTGCGCCAAATATGTCATCTGGAATTGTAAGTCAACATATGAGTCATTTGTCAAAATTTGGGCATAATTGTGCTCAGAGAATAAATCGACTTGGCTCGGACCTAATTCTCTGTGTATTTGTCTTACAAACGAATGCCGAGAATCACGAACCTCACCCGATTTTTAACATTAACGAATTCTTTGATGTCGATTATACTTCAACTTAATACCTCACAAGAAATATAGAATGATCCTTTCTTTTCCTGTTGGGCAAAAGTCTATAGTAGAAGTCTGTACAGATTTTCACGACATGACAAAGAGAGTAACAGGCCCGCGTTGTAATTTTCCTTCTAAGAAATGTGCGAAAGGGAACAGTTGCATTTTAGCATCGACCGTAGTCGGATATCGGACATTGTGTTTAGGCATTACTAACAGTGCGATGAGGGTACTACATATGAGATAAGATAACCAAATGGGCACGGCCAGAGAGACGTTCGCTTGTCGTAAATAACTGGTTAAATTCAAACAATAATTTTTCTGGAGTCGTCGCTTTTTGCAATCAACTTTTCGTTCGTGGAGAGTGAATCCAATGGTAAAAGCACTGAGCATTCGCCATCATAAGTTATATCCGGACTTGCTCTTCCTGAATTCATTAAGTACGTAAATAATCATGGAATAATTGAAATTATGTTCGTGTATCCGTGTAATAAAAAATCATTGAGGAAAGTGCGTATTAATGAAGAGTGAGTACTTGGAAAGAGGGCAGCAACAAAGGTACATGTGCCGCTTGAGATACAATCCAAGTGAATAATTACCGCGGAAATATCCGGGCAATGGGTCGTATTGTCACGCCTCAATAAACATTTCGTAGCTGACAATTTATTTCAACCAAACATTCCTCAACAGATCACGCGGAGAGAAAAATTCTGTTGAAAAAACCCGTGATTTTTATGTCATTCAGGAATTTTTATATCATCTTTAGGAGAAAAGTCAATAACTTCGACGAATTTTACTTTTTTTTGTGAGGGTTTTAACTGATGCATTCCAATTTTTAATTAAATCAAAAGTAAAATAATTTGGAATCTTAATAAAAAGAAGACATTTTTTTGTGATTGTTCTAGTTGATAAAAAGGAGATGGCCAAAATGTGTCATGCGCTCATTTTCTTCTCTTTTCTATAATGATAATAAAAAGGAGGCCAATAAGAATATTTTTCATTCTAATTGTTCGATATTCAGTTCGAAAAGTTGTGTAAAAGTTGGTATCAATTATTCAGTGTCGATGGTCCTGATTAATGTGAATTGCACTAGAATGCAGAATTGTACGATATTATCTTACCAATGAGGACGCTGAATCGTTTGATCGATTTATCGTATTGATATCTCCGAATCTAAGGGAGCTACTAAAATTTTTGTTATAACCTTTTTTGTAGAGCCGATTGAGAGCTACAGCCAATGTAATTACGAAAATTTCGCTATCTCCCTTACATTCCGAAATATTCCTCAAAAACTCAACTGGGAGATAAGTCGACTTGAACCGTTTCACCACTTCGCTACTGAATAAGCCTCAGGGGTATTTTTCAAAAGATTGTTATGAAATTTTCGTTCCAGAAAATTGGAAAAATGTCGTGGATACCAAGAGATATCGCCGACCTCTGCGTGACACGTCCAACGATGACGTCGTGTCAGCCCCCAGCGATGATGTTTTTGGCGCTTGTCGTTCAGCTATTCGGATACTCATCAGACAATCATCCTGAGGAGTATCCATTGCTCGATAGTCTCAATGGGAGCCCTTACGAAGCTGCTGAGGGACTCGCAGTCAGTTGGGAATCGAAAAAATTGGCACTGCCTTCTGATAATTTCATTGATGATAATTCTTTGATCGGGAATTTCTACGCGAATGACACAGGGGAGACCTCATACCTATCCGAGTTATTCGATAGAATTGATCAGGATGATATTGTGATCGTTGAAATTGAGGATGAGGGGCTGGAGGAGGTGCAGATTACGGAGACTTCAAAGGGTCCAGAGGGACTCGAAGGGATTCATGAGTTCGGCCGAAGGATCATCGTCGATGCGGGGGAGAATCACGCAGCCAGATCGACTTCTATGAAATACCCTGAATCCGCTGGATTTCCCGCAGATCAGTATGACTTCATAATAATCGGGGCGGGATCCGCTGGATGTGTTGTCGCTAATCGTTTGTCCGAGATTCACGACTGGAAAGTATGTGAACCCATATTATGATTTATGCTCTATTCTCAGCATCAAATTTCGCCCATAAGTCGGTTTATAACTCCCGCTGTGCGTAAAAATTTCCATTTGTTATTCAAGTGTTGAAGGGAGTGTAGGTATAAGAGAATGCTTTATGCACTAAAACATGCCTCGTAAAGGCTTTACGCCATCACGATAAAAAAATTTATGGGTGAGAATGGAGTTCAGAATTTACAGAGCAGCGAAACTCGTTTTTTCAATGCATCTGCAAGTATGGAAATGAGGATCGATGATTTCAGGAATTAACTACGGTTTTCTCAGTGGAAATGGGAAAATTCCTAGAAAAATTGATAAAGTAGCAAGCTTCAATGGGAATACATAAGAAATTCTATAGGGTCACATGAATTTTTACTCTGCTCATGCTGGATTATACGACGTAGAAAGTGATGGAGAATTTGAAGAATTTTCTGGGTTTTTTTGACTCTCAAAAAAATGATAGAGCCTTCTTTCATAAAAAATCAGAAAGGTTTTCCAATTTTTCAAATGGATAAACTCTCAAAAGTTGATAAAGAACTGAAAATCTCCAAAACTTCCAGAAGAGCTCGAGAAGAGCCCGAGAACTTTTGGAAAATTATAGAATTTCATACAAATAAAAATCTGATAATGCACCATTTAAGCAGATTTTCATGCTTCATTTGAGAAATTAATGCAGATTAGGTATCTTCATTCTCTTATTACAAAAATTTTCCGGAGAATTTTTTTTCCGTGTGGAAATGAACCAAAAAAATTCAGTTTTTTTGTCTCCAATTTCCAGATTTTACTATTGGAAGCCGGAATTGACGAGCCAAAAGCCGCCGACGTACCGGCATTCGCGCCAATGATGCAGGGTAGTAACATAGATTGGGGCTATCGTACCCAGCCTGACAAGAAAGCCTGTCGATCTAGAATAGAAGGCCGCTGCGGATGGTCAAGAGGCAAGGTAATCAACTGCATTGTCGACGGTGAATCAAACAACAATTCAATAACTATCCCCACAGGTAATGGGAGGCTCGAGTACCATCAATTACATGATCTACATGCGCGGAAATCGAGACGACTACGATGAATGGGCGAGACTGGGTAATTACGGGTGGGATTACGAGCAGGTGTTACCTTATTTCATTAAATCCGAGAATAACAAGGATCCAGAGGTAAATGGGCCAATTTCTTAAAAATGTCTTTGGAGATAATGTCCCAATAGAAAAAAATTTATAGAAAGATGAAATTGTACTAATGCACCCACTCGGCCTTATAGTTTTCTTTCTACAAAAAATACATTCATCCCTCATGAATGCATGAATGGATGATGCATTGTATATTCTTTTTGTTGTAATGTTTAAATTATTGAAATTATCAAAATTCATTGGCCAATTTAAAATTGCAGAAGTTGTTAGAATATCGGAGGTATAGCTATAGAAATAGTTTTAGTTTTTCTATATTCACAACTATACCTGCAAATATTTCTAGCTTACTGCTGTATTTATCCACCGATGCAGTCGGACGCTTGAAGACTCGAGTCCTTTTAGACTCGTGTACAATGACTTCTTTCTGCTCCCGCAGGAGTTCATTGAGTTGTTTCAGTTTATTCGTCACTCATAAATTTTTCTTTATCCTCTGACAAAGGTCTCTTCACAATGGAATTTTTGTTTGTACTGCGCCCACTGACATTTTGTTACCTGAATTTTGATTTACTTTCTTTGATGTAGAATAAACAAGCCCTGAAGGACATTTACTTAATTATACTAAGACGGTCGACAACAACTACTATGTAATTTATACAATTCTAGGTATAAATTAAATAGTTATACATAACTACATAACTATTTATAACTATAGGTATCTATATAACAACTGTAGTTATGACTACAGTAGTACCTACGAATAGAGTTAAATTACAGCCGAACAAATCGGTGACAGAAAACGTCACATGGATTTTTTTTTAAAGCAAAATTTCAATGAGAAATTTTCTGTTAAAAAAAGGAAGTGAATCGTCAAAGTAATAAATAACATGAGGTACTCATAACTTACAGATTGTCGAAAAAAATCCCCATTATCACGGCACGAAAGGCTACCAAACCGTCGAGAGATTCGAGCAAAAGGATGAGAATGTGGAAATAATCTTGAACGCATGGGAAGAGCTGGGCTACAAGCGAACTGACGTGACAGCAGGACACCAGCTCGGAATAATGGAGATTCAAACAACCAGCCGTGAAGGTTTACGCGAGAGCACAAACGGCGCCTTCATAAGGCCAATCAGACATAAACGAAAGAACCTCACGATAATGACCCAAGCCCACGTGATAAGAATCATAATTGATCCAGCAACGAGCCTCGCACTGGGAGTGGAGTAC